ATGTCTACTACAAAATATTAAATTAAATGTTTTTTTACAGATTTGATGGCAACCAGGCGAAACATAATAAAATTATAAAAATATTTGAATTAAAAAAAAAAAACGACTACAGAAAGTGGGAAATTCTATCCACTCCAGTCTAAGAGAATGGACTTCCATATCTACTTAAAAATCTTGATGGATTGATATGGAAATTGACTTGGACGAATATTTAAACTTGATGTAATAGTTGGGAGTCGATCACTACACATTATGGCTCCGGGCAAATAGATTTCGTCCCATGTATCAGTGCATGTCAACATCCCTAAGAGCCTTGAGTTTTGTTCGAGGGTGGTAGGCACCTGAATAATACACCAAGTTTAAATATTTGTAGATGCCAATTTCACAATCAATCAACAAAGATTAAGGATATATGGAAGTACATTCTCTTAGGTTGGATAGAGTTTCCCGGTTTCTGTATTTGGTTTTTTTAATTTTTTGTTTTTGAAATATTAACAATTCATTTTCATAACATATGACCGATCACATGGTATCATTTCAAATCAATTTATAATCGACAAACGTAAACTATAGTCAATTTTTTTTCTCATTGTTTTAGGCTCAAATTACTCCAGCCGTCAAAGTTAAAAATCGACCATGCCATCCCCTCAAAAAATCTTTTAGCTGATTGATTAAACAGCCTTTACACAGTAATTTGCCGGAATTTCTAGCTAAAATTCTTTCATAACGCTCACGGGATTTCACCGAATAATTTAAGATATCAAATATAAAAATCGTTCCATACATACACTCGAAAAATCATTACATAACTTTTAGCTCAAATTATTTCAAAACACTCAGGGTATCTAACCGAATAATTTGAGCCATCAAACTTAATAATCAATCCAATTGTTGGCTTTTATGGGACGATCCAAATACATAGCCTTCGTTTCGCTTCACTTAATCAGGTAATAAAACTAAGTTTTAGTGATCTATTGAACTTTTACTATATTAAAAATAATATTACATAAAGATGAGTCCAAAAGTCATTTTCAAGAAAAAGTTGACTCTCTACCTTTTACCTCTAAGGTGCAGATATGTTTTTAAAAAAAAGGTTCTATTTTTAAAAACACTTTCTATCAAGTATTTCTTTTTTTTAATTTTTGGTGATAGACCTTTTGATTTTTCAACTTAAATCAGATGTATCTGACCATGTATATGAAACCAGCATTTTCTGTTTTTAAACCTAAATTAAATAATATTATGTCAGATCATGTGAAAACATTAAGACAATTTATACATTTCTATACTTTTAAACCAGCATTTGGAAGGAAGTATAAAAAAATAGTTTTAAAATGTAATTATAGCTTCCCCGAACCACAAGGATGATGCAAGACAGGACAAAAAAAGAAAGAGTGATAAATGACAGTACAGTACAAAAGCTTTCAGAATATCAAACGTGAAAAATTATATTTAAATTTGTCTTACATGATGGACCGAAGGGCGCCCTACGTTTCCACTAGTATCACGATGGCCCTATGCACAACATAAGACAAATCACCAACAACTTTTCTACCATCACCAGTTATATAAAAAAAAAAAAATCCTGAACTCTACACACAAAAACTCTAAACTACAACTACAAAAAAAAAAAAATCATTCAAGTTGTCAAATCAAAACACCACACAAGGTTCTTTCTCAAGTGACGTTCTGAAAACAATTCAAAACAAAAAAAAAAACCAAGTAATATTGAGGTGTTTGCCTAAGAATTGGTTGTTATTTGAGAAAAAAATATTTAAAAAAAGATAAAATGATCATTTTTTATTTAAACCTTATAATAAAAAATACCTTATCAGAGGGAGTTCAATTACCTTAATAAATCATTTATTATATTATTCTTAAAGTAATTCTTGAATATTTTGGGTATATTCTTTATAAATTAATATATATATATATATATATATATATATATATATATATATATATATATATATATATATATGCATAGACAGATACCTATGTAGGAGGTTTAGATGCTTCTAAACCTGCACATAATAATTGTCAAGAGCACCTATTGCTGCCTGACTGTCAGTAAAGATGGTGATCCTTTTCTCAGTCACATTGGTTTGCAGTAGGTTTTGTACACAGTGGCAGATTGCCAGTATCTCGGATTGAAACACTGAAGCATTATTATGCTTATTCAAAGGTCGTTAAGGAATGCAATAGAGCACTTAACGAGCTAACTGAGCACAACAGAGTTGCAGTGGAGTGGGTGCCAGGCCATTCTGGCATACCGGGCAACGAAATGGCTGATGAGCAAGCCAGGTTGGGCTCAGATACTATTCCTATAACTCCCGAGCCTGTCTGTGGAATCAGCCTTAGTACTTCCAAGGGCAGGATCAGGGAGATCTATGGGAACAAATTTAGGAATTACTGGACCGACAAGAAACAGAGACACTCGAAGCTGTTCCTTAAAGGCCCATGTAAAAAAAGAAGTGAACAGCTACTGAACATGGACAGAGCAGCTCTTAAAAAACTCACAGCGATCTACACAGGTCACTGTAAGTTAAATAATCATATGTTCAATCTCCGAGTAATGACGAATCCGATATGCAGATTCTGTCAGGAGGAGAATGAAACAGCTTTTCACATCATATGCAGATGTGACAAGTTTATAAGGCTGAGACTGGCGTTATTTGGGGAGGAACAGATGGATCTCCCCAGTAGATTTGAGTCGGTTAACCCAACCAGCCTACTGAGATACGCGGAAGCGACAGGACTAACGTTTTGAATAAGACGACCTAGCGAATATTGGCGCACAATGGACCCAAAGGGGTCGACGTGCTTAAAGCCCAAAAAAAAAAAAAAAAAAAAAAAACCTGCACAACCGTGCAGTATTACAGGTACTGTATAGTCTACCCCTTGTTCATTTCTATTGAAACCACATTTGCTAGCTGTTCAAAAACCACTGTGGGCGTACAAAAAAAAAAAAAATAAATAAATAACAGCCATATTAAACAAACAATTATCATCCGAAATTGAGTCACATTTAGATCATGGAAAAAGAGAACAATAATAATTACAAGAACTTCATGCCTATGACCCTTCATGTGTTTCACAAACTAGTCACCGATTTCAATGAAGCTCGTTTTAGTGATACTAGGTCGAAAAATATTTGAACCATGTCCGATGGTTCTTGCGAATGCGCTCTAGGAGTCAAGAAAAAAAATTTCATTAATTTTTTAACTTTACTCTACATGGATTTCTAAGTTATTATATATCATTCAATTTTTTTTTGTAAAATAAGAAAATCATCAGACACCTGCAAAATTTATTAGGCTTGGAGATAAAAACTAAAAACCTTTGGAAAGTTTTTCTATATTTATTCCTTACGAAGATGTGAAGTCTTAACATAATTGATATTGTTTTGAAGAGAAATAATTTATCTTTCTAATGGTTGTAGCAAGATTTAACTTAGGAGAAAATCCTGAGAAATTATGAATATTTTAGTAAACCGCATGAAAAAAAATCTTCCAGTAAGACTGAGTAAAAAAATTAATATTTTTTTATTTAAAAACAAACTCGTATTTAAGAGTTTAAGTAGATGTTAAAAACGAATCTGAATTTTTTTTTCATTATACATTAGAATTCATTTCATTTTCTTATTTTACACAAAAAAACAAATCAAATGGTAGATAATAATTTATAAATCCAAGCAGATCAAAGTCGGAAAACGGTAATATAAAATAATGTTATATAACGGTGTGATAAGCACCCTTGAATAACTACAAAAAAGTTCATTTAAATTATGATCCAATTTTCTGCAGATAAATAGAAAATTTAAATTTTGGGTTATTTAAGTGTCACATTTTTTCTTGAATAAAAAGCGATAACTAAAAAAATATTTAATTAAGGTAATTAACAATTGTTTCATAGTAAACTAAACAAAATTTCTTTTAAACGCAAGTAGAATTTGCCTTTGTTAAACTTTTTTTAAGGAAGCAGGCGCTTATGAAATCCATATTGCCAAAGGAAAAATAAATAAATAGTTTAAATAGTGAAATAATTATTTATATTCATGAAACTGAGCGGAGGCTCTCAGAAAGCACTAATTCAATTTTCAATTAAAAAAAGATAATTTGTTTCTGATAAGGTATAAATAAAATGAATTTTAATAAATAAGGTAAAAAATAAAACATGACATTCTATCTGTACCATTTTTTTCTCATCATCAACCAAATATCCATCTTCAAAGAGACTATAGTATTCTTATTTAATATATAAAAGTCACTTAAAATTCTTTTATTAATAAAACAATTACTAATTTGAGTTGTTTCGATTAAATCGAATATAAAAATTTAATAAGTAATAAAAATAATAATGTTAAATCAAGAAGAAATGGTCTGAGAGTGTTAAAAATAACATAAAATAATTGCAAATTATTTATTCAATTCCAACATTTTGATCCACTTTTTCTAAATGCTAATTTTTTGTTTTGTTTTCCAATTTTTTCTCGAACAAAAAAAAAAAGATCTTCAGACTTAGTTAACACTTATTGGTAATTCTCCTTGTATCATCCCTAAAGACAATCTACAATATGGGGCAAAACATTGGTATCAAATGAATAAATAACAATTTTATGTTATTTCTGACCGAACCTCCTTAACTATCTCCTTGATTTACCATATGCTCAACAATCAACACATCCAAAGACATTAGTCATTAAAAAACCAACTGATGACATAAATGTTAATTATTCAAAATCTACTTTCACGTTATAACAATAATAAGAAAATTTAGTATAAATTAGATCAGATCACTGACAATTTGAATACAAATAACATTTAAAAACATGAAAATAATAAAAACATGAGATATTCAAATTTTCAATGGCTCGTGCACATTTAAACGATTAATATTGATAATATAGGTTAATGAATCGGCTTTGCATAAATAGATTAAAGATTAAACACATACAGATACTATTAATATAGCAGTCGAAAAACCAAATAAATGAGTAGTTATTTTACCATGGATGCTCCTCTTCCTGATTGTACAGCTATTCCCGGTTGAGGACTAGAACTCGAAGGATTCGGTGATGCTTGCATTTTGTCAAGAGGTGTCTGAATTACCAAGAAACCGCTGGCAGACTGAGCGTTTTCAAGCTCGCCTCTGAAAGAAATTATGTTTTCTCTAATTACATAAAAATACTTATCATTTTCATCATCTTTTATTAGATTACTCATTTCTTATATAAATCTATAGTTCGTGGTAAAGACCCCTTTTCATCAAATTATTAACATCCGGCTGAAACTTTGTAAATAGCTTCATCTCATCGTAACCTACAAATATTTTATTTACAAAAATTTTCGGTATTGGTATGGAGGTCAGCAAACTTTGTTTATTTAATTTGGTACTAAAAACTCGTAAATACCTATTTGCTTTCCACTTTAATCGTAAGATGACTTGAGTACAAAGTCAAGAAAAAAGGTGGCTTTCAAAAATATTGAGCCGTTTTGTCAATTGTCAAAATAATGAGGTTATATAGACCAAACAGCTCAATATTTTTGAAGACCATCTTTTTTATCGACTTTGTACTCAAGTTATCTTACGATTAAAGTGGAAAGCAAATGGGTATTTACGAGTTTTTAGTACCTAATCAAATAGACTAAGTTGGTCGACCTCCAGATTGAAAACGCCCCAATTCCGAGAATTTCCGTAAATAAAATATTTTATAGGTTACAATGAGAAGAATCTATTTACGAAGTTTCAGCCGGATATTAATAATTTGATAAAAAGGGGCATGTACCACGGACTATTATATATTATACAATAAAAATGGGATATGATAATGTTCATTAATAGAAAGTTAATTAACTAATAATTTTTTATCCCAAAAAATATATAAACAATAAAAATGTTTACTATGTAATCTATATATGATTATTTATTTATCAAAACAATTTTTAATCTCACAGTCTTTTATTATACATTTAAAACATTTACAAATTATTATTTTTTAACATTTAGGCTCCAAGAGCCATTTTCAAAAATTTTTTTTTTTTTCAGGATTGGTTTTTGTTATGTTTCTCCAGTAATTAAATAAACTTTGTCCCGAAAAAAGATTTGTAAAATGAAGTAGTGTTTTGTTTTTTTAAGTTTGTTTTAAATTATTACATTATAAAGGAGTTTTTACATTACAGGATGAAATTTTTAATAAAATGGGGGGAAGAAGAGAAATTCTGTGGAATTTCAGAAGAAAAATAAAAATAAAATACAACATATAATATTTAATAAAACAAGTACTAACATAGAGTAGTATTCTATATACAAATATATTTTAAAGAAATTTTCAGAAATAATCTTTTTATAGGACTGTTTTTTTTTTTAAAAAAGAAAGAATTTTTGAAAATGGGTCTTGGAGCCGAAGCGTTAAAAAATAATGCTATATATTATTTCTAAAAGGTGTTTTTTCGTCGCCATAACTTCATCAATTCTTCATCAAATCCAATTGACCACTCATTTTGAAGATATTCTTCTCCTTCACATGTGAAAAAAAGTCCCATCCCCTGAAATTTCTGGAAAAAAAGTTATGAAGGAAAAGAAACTTTATTTGCGAATAACTCAAAAAGTATGCACTTTTTTCTTGATTGTACCTATGATAATTAGAAAGATTACTAAATTAGCTACAAAACAAAAAAAAATACTGTATTCAGTTGGCAAATTAATAAATATTAAATTTAATTACTTTGGGAAATCGATGAGGTCAAATTCACATTCGTCTTCGAGCCACGATGGCATGTTGAGGAGCAGCGATATGTCCATTTCTTGAACTTCTCTAGGCGTTGCCAATGAGATAAGGCCACCATTGACCTATATAATACATATGATATGAAATTATCATAATAAATATAACAAAATAATAATAATAATTATATAAATAGACAAAGGCGAAACTCAGTCCCTTTTTCTTCTCTGTTTCTTAAACTAATTTTCTTTTTTTCTATAGAAGCTATTGACGTGCCTTAGAATTATCTAAGAAAATCACTTTATTTTTATAAAAAGGTGCTACCAAATTATATTGGGTTTATAAAGACATAACATACTTAGATAACTGTGGGTTAATGTCATATAATGTGGGTTAATCTAATGTAATCTCTATTAGTTCGTTATAAACTTATTCCTTATCTTTTATCGCAATCTGTTTACTTTTAACTTACATGCTATATTCTCCTTTATTTTTATTTTTATTCATACTTATTTTCAATTAGTTTGTATCTTCTACATATATAATACTTAATATTTTAATTACATTGTCACCCACTATATCTCTAATATCATCTTTTTATTTCTGTATCTGACAACTTCTTCTTATTATTATATATCTATTTATATTTATTTTTTATTTTCAACATGTTTTGTATCTTTTGTAGCCCTGAAGACGACCTGCAAAGTGGGTCGAAACGTCGGCAAATATTAAATAATTACTATATTTTAATTTAGTATTTATTTGACCACACCTCCCAATTAACTCCTTCTCAAAAATAATAAACGGCAATATAATAATTCACTGTATTAATGAACCTAACTAACCTGGTTCAAACAGAACGCCGATATCTGATCTTGATCCTTGTGAATGAGGCGGATGGGTTCCGGGACAGCATGGGGAGGGGGATGGTGAGGAACCACCCCGTCATCGCTTCTGCTCTCCCCACTCCTACTGTGCGGTCTCTTTCCGAACACACATTTAACGAATAGTTCCGTTACAGGTTCCTGTCTGACTAGGTAACTCCATAGCCTACGAGCAGGTGCGGCAGACCAATGGCGAGGACTAAAAATTGAAAACAATATCTCTAGAATAAATAATATTTTCCAATTAATAAATTTTTATTAAATTAAATTAGTTTTAAAACTAAAACTAAACATCCTTAAAAATAAAATAAATTTAATTTATAAATAAAAGAAATTTATTACAACATGCAAATAATCGTGATAAATCATACATAACTTCAACAGACATAAATTAATGCGCATATCCATAAGAGCACACTAAAACCGAATTTAAAAAAAGTTACCGCATTGTTGAATCAAGCAAATAACTTTAGACATAAGATTGATTTCAATAACATCAAAATATTAGATAAATTGAATTAATGGGCAAAGCTTAAAACATTACAATATATATTGTTGTGATATTTTTAAAAATAAATAAATCATGTTTTAATTTTTTTTTCTTTTCGTTAAATTTTTTAATTTTTGCTCAGGGCCTAAAGGGTTCAGTCACTGAATATTTTGGGATCTACTAAATGACATCAGTACATAAAATCATATATTTAGAATTAAAAATAAAATACATAACTTTAATCGATGACTAAATTAGTAAAGACAGTAATATACTACATATACATATACATATACATATACAGTAATATTTGTTGTATGTATATTTCTTTATAGTAAAATAGCCAGTTAGGAGAATAATACGACATAAAATAATTAATTATCACACTATTATTGATGTTATAATTTAATGTTGTATTTGTATTTTATATGGTAGATTCTCATGAAAATTCAAAATTGGAAGAGGTCTTAGAAAAGGAAATACACAATTTATGGATCTTATTATCCAGGTATTGGAAGCAGCTATAAGAAAATTAAAAAAGAATGGCGGAGGTACAATTTACAATCGTATGACACAGCAGTTAGCATATGCAGACGATGTTCTCTTAATAGCACGGACTGTACCAACACTTGCAGAATTCCTCACGGAGAACTAGGTCTGAAAATTAATACAGACAAGAGCAAGTACATGCAGACCTGAAGAATAGACCAGGTGACAGGAGAAGAAATTGGAGATTGAAGAGCTGGGATGAATCCAAGTATCTAGGTAGCACGATCACCTGCAAGAATCAAGTAGAGAAAGATAACTGAATAATAACTGAAATAACTGAAATGAAAGCCCATATAGCTGCAGGGAATCAATGTCTGTAAAGTGTACAGAAGCTGCTGAATTGCAAAAATCTGTCCAGAAAGGCAAAAACGTTAATAAATTATGGTAACTGCATTCAATAATCGTAAAAAAAAAAAAATTCATTTGTCAAAAATTACAATGAACATTAATGATTTAAATAAAATAAAACAATAACTGAAATGACTATGTACAAAGCTATGGGTAAGTACCAAGACGGGAGATGGAAGTTTGTACTGTACTTGCATGTAGGGTAACAGGGCAGGAATATATAGATATAGAAATGCTGAGTAAACTTTCAGGAAAAATAATCAAGGTGGCTCCTTCACTATATATAAAACAATTCTGAGGCCTATTGTATCATACGGAAGCATGACATGGCCCATGACTAAAGAAAGCAAAAAGGATGCTCCAAGGATGAAAGAAAAGTACTCCAAAAAGTTTATAGACCAATCAAAGAGCAGGATTAAGTCTAACCTAGAGCCATATTGTGAACATGATGTTGTTAAGAGTCATTCAACTCTGAGTACTGAGTACCGGGTGTTTCACTCAAATACTGACCTTTTTTGAGTACCAAAGAATATAATTACTATTTCAATTGATGTCAAACGATTAACTGAAGAAGTGATTGAATGTCTTGAATATAGTGATTGAACTGCAGTAGCGATACAATTTGAGTAAAACACTTGGTGCTCAGTAGTCAGAGTAGCATTTGGCCATTTCTGTAAGGACCCGACAAGAATGCCAAGAAAACTGCTATATGGAAAGCTTGGAGAAAGAAGAAGATGTACAAAGCATCGATTCAGATGTTTGGGCGATATGGAAGCTAACCTGAAGGAGATGGGTGTAAGGGGGTAGAGGCGCCTCGCCCCTTACAGAGACATATGGAAGAAGACTACAGCAGAGGACCATGGTTATTTAAGGACTGTAAAGCGCAGCAATGAATAAATGAATATAGATTTTTAGCTTGTGCAAACCGCAACAGCCTCACTCCGAATGCTGAAAAGAAAGCCATCATGATCCGATCTCCCTCACTATTCAAATCCTTCCCGGTATCCTCCAATCTTCTCCAGAACAATTCACCTATCTTATTCCATACTTCCGTTAAAAACATAGGTGTTACTTTTGATCAAACCTTCTCCTGAAAACCACATTTCCCAAATTTCCCATCATACTATTACCACCCTAAAACAGTTCAATTGTCTACGATATCTCCTTCCATATAAGTCCTGTCAACTCCCTGTTTCCCCCCACTTTGACTATGGCTGTATGGTGTACGGTGGACTCTCGGGAGATTTCAAAGACAAATTTAAGCGCCTATTGAATTGCGCAATATGTTTTGTTTTCAGAATCTCAAGAGGTATGCATATTACCCAGTATTAAATCGAGTTGAAGTGGCTCTATCCAACCTTTCGCCGTCAGTACTTCCTAGCTACCTTTCTGTAACAGGTCATTAGAACTCATCGACCCTCCTATATTTTTCACAGCTTACAATTTAGATACTCCATCTAATCCCGTCCCACTAGATACGGTCGTACTTCTGATCTATATCCTCCTCCTCACCAAATTGCTGTGTTTGACAAATCCTTTGAATTCATGCTGTCTACCTCTGGAATTCCACTCCTGCTGATATTCGACAAGCACAAGATATGTATAAGATACACATATGTATAAGATATGTGCACACCTTTCTAGGTTATTACTACACTGGGGTTGATTATCTACCTACAGTTGGAGCATATTGGACGCCATAGTATGAATATAGATTTTATAGTGAGATGAATATGATGCTGATCACTGAAACCTTCTCAAATCTCAAAATATAAAAAAAGAGATTTCAAATGGTAACCAACCTGAGCATTTAAACAAATTATTAGTTTAAAAAATATAAATAATTACTTCTACTTTAATAAAAAGAAAGTACTTACTGGAAAGGAGTGTTTTCTATCTCAAATATTGATCTGTATTTATGTATATTCGGTCCGGGGAAGGTAACATTATCCACGTAGCACCCTGGTATATAGTTCGAAGGTGGTGGCCCACGTGATTCTAAATCTTTTTTAAGAGCTTCTTCCCAACGGCCGACAATCCTCAATACTCCGTGGACAAGTGGGCTACAGACTGGTAACTCTAATGGCGTAAATAAAAATAAATTATTAATAACAGATTGAAGGAAGTTAGTCTACAGTTGTACATATCATGGTTGATAAATATTAAGGACACAGTCTTTTAAAATTTTTTTAAATTTTTTATTTGTGCCAACGTTTCAACCCAAACATGTGGGTCATCTTCAGGGCTAAAAATTTTAAAATACAATCAGAGATATAATATTATATGACCAATAATGGTAAATAACAAACTATAGTGATTTGATGGTACATGAATCTTAACTATTATCACAATACACAATATTAAAAATGAAATATGTAAAAAGTTATACAAACTAAAAATAATATGTATAATCAATTTATAAAAATTTGTAATATTTTCTCTTACTAACCGTGGTTCGAGCACTGAATGCTTTCAAGTACTGACACATTTGGTAGAAACATTGGCACAAATAAATATTAAAATTTTTTTTAAAAGACTGTGTCCTGAATATTTATCACCAATATTAATAACAGACATATTTTTAATTTTCTATTTAATACAGACCTAATTAAACTAAATATTAGTAATAAACCAAGAAGGGGATGGTGTGAGGATTGGTAAAATAATTAGCATCAAATAGTGATAAATATTTATTTAACTACATGTTTATACCCACATTGTAAGTCTCAGAAAAAAACAAAAAATCTGGTACGGTTCGCGCATCACAAAACTTTCACTTATGACAGTCTTCTTGGTAGAAATAAGTATTTTAAGACAAAGGGAAGTGAATGTAAAAATTATACATGGTAAGAAACATTATTTAAACAAATTAATTACCACATGTTTTTTATAGCCTTCTAATGTATTATATTTTATTTATTTGACACTAGTCATTTTCTTTTCCGACAGTATATTTCAATTATTTATTTGATTATAATAAATAATAAAGTGGCATGAAGTATTTTTAGTCCTACAAGAGTGCCACTAATAAAGATGGTTGCTATATTTATTTATGAGAAGGAATTGGTAGGGAGTTTAGGTCAAATAAATACTAAATTTTTAAAAAATAGTATTTTTAATTATGCTGACGTTTCGATCTACCTTGCAGGTCTTCATCAGCCCTACAAAAGATACAAAATATAAAAGGTACATGGTGAAAATAAAATAAATGAATTATAATTAGATATTAAATAAGAAACTGTTGTTTGATAAAGAAATAACAAGATGACATCAGAGATATATTTTAACTACACTGTCACCCACTATATCTGTGATGTTATCTTATTATTTCTTGATCAGACAACAGCTTCTTATTTAATATCTACTTATAATTCATTTATTTTATTTTCACCATGTACCTTTTATATTTTGTATCTTTTGTAGCGCTGATGAAGACCTGCAAGGTGGGTCGAAACATAGGCGTAATTAAAAATACTATTTTTTAAAAATGTAGTATTTATTGGACTGCACCTCCTGACCAATTCCTTCTCATATTATATCATGGTCAACCATCTCTACATCATTATATTTATTTATATTTTATTGCGGCTATTTTTATTTGTTTAAGCACTGGTACATATACAAATTTCAATTTCTATATCACTGTAATATATACAATTAAATATCAAATAATACCAACGATAGGATTTATGAAAACCGCATATGTTTATGTATATATTATTGTCGGAGTCCGTATTAAAACGTGTTCTAATCATTCGGATGGGCTCGTGTATTCTTTTAGTCCCTCTATTACAACTATTCTTTGTTACTATCTCTTATCTCTCTTTTAGTTAATTATTCATATTTTATATTTAACTATTTTTTATACGACAGTTGATTGTGAAATGGTTAATTATTTCAAATAAAAAAAATTAAAGGTAATTCAGAGGAAGCTAATTAAAAAAATTAGGCATTTAAGCCCTGGAAGAGAACATCAATGTGAATAAAACCTACTTTAAATTAAAAACTACTTAATAATTTACTGACCTACTGAGTTTAATCAAAATAGAGCCGTTTTTGAGAAAATTGTAAAAATGTATTAAATTGATTATATAAGTACCAATTCTGGTTTGCCGATTTTGAAGAAAAAGTGGCTGAAACATCCCAGGCATATTATATTATTTATAAATGAAAAGAATACCTTGCACTTCGATTCCAGCGACAGCAATAAAATCCTGTAACTGCCCACGGATGACACGGATTATCGCTAGCCTCATGACTGCCCAGGAGTAACTGTTAGGATTGGAATGTTCTGTGTTCTCCTTTCTTGGGTCTGTCATACTGTGAGTATCACATTTATCACCATCAAAAACATCTTCGCCTTCGCTTTCAGAATCAGATCTTTCGGAACCGCCAGAATCATAATCCAACAGTTGAGCATCTTCTGATAATATTGGCTAAAAAATAAACAATGAAAATATACATAAATAATTTTTAAAAATATATCATGGAATAATTTTTAAGACGGAGATAGATCGGGATTCAGTCAGAAAAACATAAAATAATTGCTGAATATTTATTTGTTCTGTTCATTATTCCTAGAATTGGTGTCTTGAGGTTTTTTTGTTATATAAATTAGGCCATTATTCACCAACATTTTATTTATTAGCTATTATATTACGACCATCACTAGGGCCATTTTCAGTCTGGAAAAATTTTAATGTCATCATAAATTAGATAAAATAATTCGATATTGAAAAACAATAGAAGAAAACCCCCTCTACCTTTGACTATCCTCACCAGGACGATATAAGTCAGTCCCTCCAGAAATGACGTAGGGAAACTCTAAAATATCAGGACAACTTAATTTTATCTGAAAAATTAATATGACACTGAATAATGGAAATTCAATGGAGGACTCAATAAGGTAATAAATCAATTGTATATAATGAGTAAAGTTACGAACATGAAAGATTTTTAAAAAAAGTACGCAAATCTATCGTATTGAAATTGTATGACATGGATCATTAGATTAGTTAATTGTCAGACTTGAAAATGGCCCCAGTGATGGTCAAAACGTTGTCGTAATAAAATAACTAATAAATAAAATGTTGGTGAATAATTGCCTAATTTATATAACAAAAAAAAAAATTATTTGATGTTTTCTGACCAACTCCTGGACCATCTTCTAGACTTATCATATGATCCACCATCTTAATTTATTATTTCTTAAAAGTATATTTTCGTCAGTACTTTGTTTCATTAATTTTTCATAAAATCGAATGACTGTGCCATCATCTTAAAAAAATCTTTGCCCCCAAATTGCAACTATAATAATAATACACCCGTACCAATATTTGATTTCAATATAAATTCGTGTATAAGAGTTTAAAATGACATTAAATACGAAATTGACTTGCTTTATCGTAATTAAAATTGACTTGGTCTAATATGCTGGAAGCGTCTTTAGGTTTTTGTAATTTATGATAAATTACAACTTATTTAATACCATAGGCAATATTTTATTCTTATTCTGCATAAAAAAATAAATCGATTGGTAAATAATAAACTTGAAATCCGGACAAAGAATAGGCAAAATTAACATAATTTTTTTTTAAATAATTTTTTTCTCAGCTCCTAAGACCCATTGGAATGAATACCAGGACATATGTCTAATGTTTTTTAATGTTGTACCACCAAAAAAAATTAGGGTTGAAATCGATGACCAACTGACTGTAACTTCTCCTTGTAAGTATACTTTTGATGGACCTAAACTTTAAAGTACATATTTGTAAAATTGAATAATTTTTATCGATGCAAAATCTCTTTAGTGCACTATGAAAATAACTATTATTTACCATATAATTCTATTATATGCCTAAATTAGTTACACAAAATGGACAATGTTCCAATTTGACCAAATTACTTGACTTTTGTCTCATAAAACCAATATACAATTAATAGATATTCAGGAACGGCAGGAATACTTTGAAAAATTGTTGAAGGGAGACCAAGTCTGGTGGCATACCTCTGGAACTCCTAAAATATGGTGGTGAAAAATTGGCAATAATTCTCACAGAATTAATAAACAAAATTTTGGCTGGAAATAATTGCTGAATATTTATTTGTTCTGTTTATTATTCCTAGAATTGCTGTCTTGAGGTTTTTTTGTTATATAAATTAGGCCATTATTCACCAACATTTTATTTATTAGTTATTTTATTATGACGTTTTGACCATCACTAGGACCATTTTCAAGTCTGGAAAAACTTTAATGTAATTGTTAGTTTACATTTATATTTACAAAAAAATTTATTTCACACAATTAACTAATCTAATGATCCATGTCATACAATTTCAATACAATAGATTTGCATACTTTTTTTTAAAAACCTTTCACTATTGATTATTACCTTATTGAGTCATCCATTAAATTTCCATTATTAATGTTGTATTAATTTTTCGGATAAAATTAAGTTGTCCTGATATTTTAGAGTTTCCCTACATCATTTCTGGAGGGACTGTCTTATATCGTCCTGGTGGGAATAGTCAAAGGGTGAGGGTTTTTCTTCTGTTGTTTTGCAATATCGAATTATTTGATCTAATTTATGATGACGTTAAAATTTTTCCATACTTTAAAATGGCCCTAGTGATGGTTGAAACATTGTCATAATAAAATAGCTAATAAATAAAATATTGGTGAATAATGGCCTAATTTATACAACAAAAAACCTCGACACCAATTCTAGGAATAATCAACAGAAAAAATAAATATTTAGCAATTATTTTCAGCCAAAATCTTGTTTATTAATTCTGTGAGAATTGTTGCCAATTTTTCACCACCATATTTTAGGAGTTCCAGAGGTATTCCACCAGGTCCTGGAGCTTTTCCATTCTTACTAGATTTTAAGACTTCTTTTACATCTTCGGTGGATATTTGCCATGTTGTGTCTTTGTGATGGTGTACAGTTTCCTCTTTAAAATCTTTTTACAATCATCTAAGATATGGTGGTGAAAAATTGGCAATAATTCTCACAGAATTAATAAACAAGATTTTGGCTGGAAATGATCTACCCAATGAAATGAAATTAGGGTATTCATGGCACATATATAAAAAAGGTAATAAAAAATTATGCACAAACTATAGAGGTATCTATAGTTTGCTCACCAATCCTTTTATGAAACTCCTTGGAAGAATTGTCAAAAGTAGGTTAGAAAGGGAATATGAGGGTACAGAAGACCAAATTGGCTTTACTGCAGGAACATCGTGCATCGATCATATTTTTACAATGAGGCAGATATTTGAAAAACACCTTGAAAAATCTAAAGATGAAGAGACACTCCCATTGACTTGGAAAAGACATATGACTTAGTTCCAAGGAAGCTATTGCGGAAAGCTCTCGAGGAAGCCCATAATAACCATCATAAGAGAAATTTACCACAATAATGCCTGCTGTGTTAAACTAGGGTTAAGCCTCTCAGAAAAATTCCAGACCTCAAAAGGACTTTTGCAGAGATGCTGCCTTTCGCCTACACTTTTTAAAATTTATGTTGATGTTGCTCTCAGAGAGTGGAAAAGAAAACGTAGATAAATAGGAATAAGGATTGGGGAAAGTTTAGGCATCATGAACCCAATGTTCGCTGATGACCAAGTAATCGTAGCCCAGGATAGAGAGGACATCAATTATATGTTCAGGAAGGTTGTCGAGAGTTATGAAAAGTGAGGGTTGACTATTAACTTCATGAAAACAGAGCACCTTGGCAAGAAAGAGGTATAAAAACTGTAGAGAAATTTAAATACCTAGGATCAATATTTAATAGAGAAGGTACATCCACCAATGATATTGACAGAAGAATTGGTGAAGGAAGAAAGATCACAGCAATGCTCAACAGTATCCTTTGGAGCTCGAATATACAGCCCAGTACAAAAAGGCTAATATACAAGCCTATATTCAAACCAATAACGACATGCCTAGTAGACTTGGGTCATCAGTGCAAGACACCGAAAATGACTTTTAGCAGTAGAGATGAACTTTTGGAGAAGAGCAGCAACCCAGAAGGGAAAGGATAAAAAATTAAAGAATTCTGGAAATGATGGAGGTGGAAAAAAGCATTTTAGCAAATATTGAAAAGAAAAGGTTATGCTGGTTTGGACATGTGAAAAGAATGACGCCTGAAAGATTGCCAAAGATGTGTATGGAGCTGGAAGTAGAAAGGAGAAGAAAAAAAGGGAAGACCAAGGATAAAACGGAAAGACACGATAGAAGAAAGCCTGGCGGGCCATGGCATCGTAGAAGAATAAGCCTTGGATAGAGAAGTATGGAAAAATATCTTAAGGAATATTTAGGTCGAGGACAACCACAGTAGAGGAAAAGTCCTTTAAAAAAAAAAATAAAAAAACAACTTGACTTTTGTAATTAACTGAAGATATAGAAATAGATTTATTCTGGAATGAAATCCCTTTAGAATAAAAAAATTGAACAAAAAATAAAAAGGTTATTTCTGGCCAAACGGCTTCATACATTAAATAAGTTGTATGAATATATAAATCGATACATTAAATAAGTTGCATGAATATATAAATTGATACATATTCATTGATATTTACAACTGTAAATAACTTGTTTTGGCGGGAATAGCGAATATCCTTCCGCTTTTATATTGGGGGACTAGGTTATTTACACTCGTGAATATTAAAACAAAACCCCGGCACTGGATCTAAACTATTTGATGGTGTTTAACTGTTGTTGGGAATTCGGGAATCTAATACCTTTTGTGACACTGAGTGAGAAGAAACAATAAGAATATATATTTGAAATGTGGGACTTAGTAAATACACTTTGAATGAATTGACTCACCTGGTTTGTTATTCTTCAATAGTGAGGCATATAGGACAACTAAATAAATAAATAACTTTTCACTCCTGTCTAACAAAATAATTTATTTTACACCTGTAATAAGTGAATCTATTAAAATCTTATAACTTCAGGATTGATTTTTCTTAATCTTCAGTGCAGTGGCCTCTCTCTCTTCTCTGACAACCTCCTTTCTTCCTGTCCTGGCCTAGAGTCCTCTTGCCTCTGTATCCCAGCCTCAAGTGCCTTCTCCCTTCTCCAGCTGTTGCTACCTGCTCGGTCCTTTTCCTTCTTCCTTCTTCATAATGAATAATTTGTCCACTGCATAATTGAGTACAATTCATCGTCCAACCTCACATTCCTATATATTCCTTCTCATTCCCTCGCACAATGTCACATAAAGGAGTAAATACAAGGGGCTATCTACTACAACTGTATTATACAAAAAATACAACTAGTAAATGTGCACACAGTAATAATACAATCTCATGAAAACGTTTGTTGAGAAACACCCCATTGGTAGCACTCTAATAATATATTTACATAAGTAGATCACGAGGACATCTTCTTTTCAGACGTCTCGGAGGATTGTATGTATAAAAATTGATGTATTAAATATACACAACAGAAAATTCTTCAGAAAATTGTTGACACTCTATAATCTATTTCAAATCACACACAATTTTTAGAACAAGGAAGACATATCCTTTACAAATTAATGTTGAATAATTTATCATTCAGTATAAATTATTTTCATAACTGTACAAAAAAAAATAAAATAATAAAGTTGGAAACACAATATTTACCTTTGATAGGAAATATGAAATCATGGACATTTCCGGAGGGAGGAACTGCTCCCTATAGGTGGGTTTATCTTCCTTGATGTTCTGCGTTCCGGGTTGCGATCCAAACTGACCGAGTAGCTTCATGTTCATACGAATTCTTTGCTTCGTTAACGATGTCATCGTATTCCAAACCGATTCTGTGCTTCCTTCGTCACTTCCACGGTTAATAGAATTAACGCCTCCACCCTGATAAAAAGAAGGTTCTTAGCAAAAAAAAATATTTTAAAAATCTGTCAAGCCATCTGCCAAATTTCAGTCAATAGTTGAAAGTAGAACTGATTAGAAAAAAATATATTTTCCATAACTTCAAACAAATTACTACCAAAAAGAATCATTATGCATAATGTAAAAGAAAATGTATTCTATATTTTATTTCCTCACTTGCTTATTTATCTATTCAATTTTCTTGTATATTTTATTATCAAATTTAATCAATACTAGATTAGGGTTTTAAATGACCACAATATTACTACATCTAAAGTTAACCAATAAAAAATCTTTGAAAAAAAAAAGTTTTTATTGAATATTTATGAGGTTTCAGCTATTAATAGCTATTTTCAAATAATCTAAATGAAAAATAACATTCTAAAAATCTTTAAAAAACTATGTAATATACTACTCATAGGTACCATCTGTTAACAATAATAATTTGTTTAAAGCTCACATAAAATCTAGTTGTTTTTATTTTCTTAAATGCCTGTTTCTATTTTCTTTTTTACTTTTACTTACCTATATATGTAAAATATAGTAGGGAAAAGTATTACGATCTATTTAAAAGTATAACATTTTTGAATCTATTTTCAATGAAAACACACATTCTCAAAAAATGGTCTGTGTATCTTAGCAGTCTAGCTCAAAAACAAAAGTCGTATGAAAGTGCAATTTTATATTTAAGGTTTTTATATGCCTGAGACGTTACAGCAACTTTTTCGTCAAAATCGGCTTACCAGAAATGGCACTTTATATAATCGATTTAATACATTTTTACGATTTTCTCCAAAACGGCTGTAACGATTTTGATTAAATTCATTATATCAGAGTGATATTAAGCAATTTTAAATATAATGTAGGTTTTTTTCTTTAACAGTGCTTAAATGGCTATTTTCAATATTAGCTTCTCCTAAAGTACCTTTAATTTTTTTTGTTTGAAATAATTAACCATTTCACATTAATCTCTAATATAAAAAAAAATTAAATATAAAATATGAAAGAATTTGATAATTAACTAAAGGAGAAATAAGAGATCGTAATGGAGAATAGTTGTAATGAAGGAATCAAAGGAATACCAGCGTGCCCGAGCTCGCCCGAAAGATTTGAACAGTCTTCCATAGTTGGTATTATTTAATATTTAATTGTGTAGATGACAGCGATATAAAAAATAAAAATTTATATATATAGGAGTACTTGAACAAATAAATATACCCACAATGAAACATAAACAAAATCTATAATTTTAACTTTTACTTCCTCTTTATCTGAAAATACTTGTTTCTTCTAAGGAGAGGGAAGTGAAATTTGTGTGATGCGCACACTGCATCAATTTTTTTTTATTGTATTAGCTGATTAATTGGAAATTTTCATTTTCCTCTTTAAAAAAATCCACAATTCCCATTTAGAACGAATAGCTTAGACTCCCTAGAGTTTCTTGTTAAACAATTTTTTATTTCTGAAATATAGTAGTGAATATTCTGTTTTTTTTTTTTTTTAACCTTAATGTATGATTGTTTAGATGTAATAATTACATAAAGATCACACTAATAATGAATAACCAAAATAAGATATTTTAAATTTATGTATTTACTTTATTTCCCTAAATACATTCATAATCTTGAATGTTGATTGGCTAATAATAGTTAAATTGCTAATTTTTGTATTTGAAATACAAAATTGATTTATAACAAAACAAAAAAACTTACTGATGTCTGGGCTACTCTCAGTAGCTTTTTAACACCTCCTCCATACAATGTACCCCAAGTTCTATCGCAGAACTTTTGACCGACAAGTCGGTAAAGAATATGACAATCACATGTAGCTAATGCATAAACCGTTAAAGACATGAACGTAGCGACAAACGCTTCGGTCAGCAAAATGTTTAGACGTGGTGTATCTTCGTCTTTTTCTCTTGCTAAAAGTGCTCTTAAATTTGTAACACCTGAAACACAAGATTTAAAACAAAAATAAGAATTTAAGAAAATAAAGCTTTAGCTAAATACTTTCATATACGTATAAGGTAGAAATTCACTAATTATGGCAAATACCAGGCCATTTTGAAGGTTGAGTTGTAACTTGTAGAGGTTCATCCGTAGAATATCTTCTTTTGCGTTGCTGAGTTGCGATAAGGTGACTGCTGGAGTTGACATAAGATAATGTATCGAGGGCAGAACCATGTAGGCTGAAAGAATATTTTTATAAAAAATAAATAAACTTTTAAATAATTAAAAAGACAAATTAATACATGATGGAACAATAATAATGGTCACATTTGAAATAATTAAAAACTTTTTAGTGTGCATATGTACCTCTTAGTATGCACTTTTTAGTATTTATGTTAAAATTTTTTAACATAATTTTGGTTTATTTTCAATAATCAACCATTGTGATCGGGCAGAAAATTAAAAAACTTAACCCCCTCTCAAAATTAGAGGTTTCACATTTCAGGATGCATAGAATTCGAAAAACGAATAAAAATTTTTTTGTCCGACCACCCGAGAATGATCCTCTTTCATCAACATTACTATCCGCATTTTACTTTCAAAATGGCGGCCGAAAAACCTGCGTTGCTATAGACTGTAGCTCCTAAACGAATGTACCAATTTCAATGAAAAACTTCGCTAAAGTCATTTCCAATGTACAATTACCTTAAATTATAAAATAAATAAAGAAATTGGTGATAAAAATTACTACCTTTTACTTGAGAAAAACAAACAAATATAATGTTAATAATCTTAAAAGTTTTATTTATTTCAAAAGTGACCGTTGTTATGCTATCCTGTAAAATAATAAACTAAATCATAATAACCTGTCCACTGCTACCTTAACCGAGCAGGTATCAGAATCACAGAGGGATTGGTAAATGCAAGCAGATAACGCAACCGCTAAATCTCTAAGAACAAATACTTCACTGAAATTGACTGAATTTAACGTAGGCGCATTCCTCTGCTCGATTATTGTCTGAAGCATGTCGTGCGCTAATGACTAAAACAGAAAACAAAATTTTTTTTTCATCATGACGATAAAGTTGTAAATATCAGTAACAAACATAGCTGTTCGAAAGATGAGAAGACGACATACCTGTAAATGTCTAACCGGATCGGCTATGACGGTTTTGTTGCAAGCAACGCTAGCAGACAACAGCGGCAGAGTAGTCGGGAAAGGTAAAGGCGACAGCAGTTGCTGCTGAGTCTTCTCCTGCTGAAGCTCTTGAAGTAGCAAGACTAATTCCATCCTAACAGAAGCCAGCCCGCCGCCAGACGCCCCGTGAAGTGAACAGTAAGACAGCAGAGTTCTTAATAGAGTTTCATTGGCTAGAATGGAGAAGAAAATAAAATTATTATGTCTTAAATAGAATTAGGATCATTTTATATAGATTTTTTTGAACCTTTGTGGTCATTGACAAAATCTTTATGTCTTAATCTGCCCCCGCTATAACTTACTCCGTAAGATGGGAACCTTTCCAGCACATAATTCGTAATTACATATTAATTCACAAGTATGTAATGTTTATGCGTATATTTTTATAATTTTTTTTTTTTAGTAATGCTAGGTCTATTACCACTGCAACTGGAGATTGAAAAGCAGGCCTTGAAAACTTTTTCCAAGCTACAAAAATTAAACTTATGTTCAAAGATAAATACCCTGGAGGGAGATTGGGAAATAGTTCAAAAAATTGAGGCGGACAGGTTGCTCACAATGCATTCTGACACTCAAACTCGAGAATTTCTCACAAAGATGTATAATGTAAAAATAGACAGCTCAGGAAAACACAAACTCATTAATGGGATTAACTGTTATACTGATGGGTCGGTCACTTATGACATGCAGATTTGGTGCTGGTTTTTGGAGAAAGGATAAACCAGAGGAAGGTAACAATACCACTTGGAAATTACGCAACAGTGTTCCAATCTGAATTATTGGCGATAACTCACTGTGCTTCAAAAATGTTGCTTGACGGGTTAATTGGAAGGAGAATTGCAATATATACTGACAGTCAAGCAGCCGTACGAGCACTGGATAACTATACAACTAGATCTAAGGCTGTTGGAGATTGTGTCAGAAGTCTCAATGACTTATCCAGGCTTAATAAGGTAAACATTGAATGGATTCCAGGTCACTCTGAAATTTATAGTAATGAGATGGTGAATGAACTAGCTAGAATAGGCTCACAAAAGATACCTATAGCTCCAGAACCCATCTGTGGAATTAGTCAGTGTCTGATAACAAAAAGAATTGGGGAGATCTATGGTGCTGAAACTAAAAAGAACTGGTGCTTGAAAAAACAGACTCACTCTAGACTGTTTCTGGAAGGAATCTGTCAAAAAAGAAGTAATCTACTAATTAATCTGAGCAGGAGCTCACTTAAGAAAATTACAGCGGCATATACAGGGCACTATAAACTGAATTATCGTAGGTTCAAACATGTATGTATGTGAGGGCTCACGGAGTCATCTCTTTGTAGGTACTGTGGCCGGGAGAATGAGGCAGCTTATCATATTACTTGTTGGTGCGACAGGTTTGCTGGACTAAGATTCTGATTATTCGGCATTGATAGGGTGACTGATCCCAAGGCAAACGAGTTCATCAATCCAACAAGCTTATAACAGTTCATTGAGACTGCAGGAATTACGCTCTAAACAGGAGTGACTATATAAGGTGTACAATAAAGGTGTGAATAAAGGTGTACTATATATATAGTGGTGACATAGTTCTTATGCTAAAGGTGCACTATATAAGCAGTGAATAAAGGTGTACAATAGGCCTACATGGCTGCAGTGCACTCATGCATTTAAAAAAAAGAAAAAAAAATATAATGTTTTTGTATCTGCTGCTTACCTTTCAGCCATCTCTTTCTCCTAGCAGCTCTTTGAACTTTGGCTTCGAAATCACATTTTTCTGCCATTAGAATTTCATGTAACGTAGGCTTTTCCTTGCTCAGCGTAGGTGTGTCGCATCCCCTCACATCCTGAATCGCCTCAACTATATCATCTGTATACGTATATGAATATTAGTTATAAGAAAAAATAATATTAACATTTTATCTTATTCAACTCAATATGAAATGAAATTATTTACATTGCGACTCAGGAAAGTCTGAAGCAGGACTATAGTTACACAGCTGTCGCAGAGCTTCTACTTCTCTTTCAAGCCATAAATAGAGCTGATATCTAAGCTGTCCTCCGTCTACCTCGTAACCCGTCGCGAGCGTTGATAATTCTTCCATCAATATTTTCAAACAAGCAACGAACTTCAGCTGTTGTGCCATTATATCGAGATGAACAGGTTTCTTAGATTCCTTTTCTTCTAAAACAGAATTTTATAAAATTGTGCAAAACATCAAAATAAAAATAGAATAGAATAGAGTAGAATCATTATATAAATAGACAAAGGCAAAACAGTTCAGTCCCTTTTTCTCCTCTGTTTCTCAACCCATTTTCTTTGTTCTTTTTTTGTTTAATAGCTATTGACGTGTTATCAATAATAAAAAAAAAATTGGAAATAGTATATATAAGTAAAATTATAAATGTTAGTTTGTTCATCTAATCTATGAAAGTTCTTCACCTATTACTTAGAAATTTTGAAATAACATTGCAATAAATTCAGAAGTGTTTTCATTTACATTTGATTACCATCCGGCCTTTTTTTGTTTGGATCTGGCAGCCGAAAAACATGTTTCACTTTTTTATGTAATCTTAAAAATGTTTCAAGGGTATATATTAATAATAAAATTTATAATATTGAGAAAAACGATTTATTTTACTCTTATACTTTATTCCATGCTTTAATTCATTTAAATTTCTTGACGACGTTTCAGGAAATTTTGCTCATTTTCAATTCGAATATTTATATATCATTATTATATAATCCATACAACCATACTTCTTTATATAATTATTGCAACATTTATCTCTTTCAGATTATAAAATTCATAAATTATTCATGAATAGTCAATTCTAAAACAACTGTAGACAGCCAACAAATTAGGAATTAATTTAAATTTACTCAACTCCTACACATTTCGTTAAATACATCAGTGTAATAATTTTTAATTTTGTGACTGCCCAAAGTTGTTTTAGAATTGACTATTCACGAATAATTTATGAATTTTATAATTTGAAGGATTTGAGGAGATAAATTGTTGCAATAATTATATAAAAAAGTATGATTACATGGATTATATAATAATGATATATATATATATATATATATATATATATATATATATATATATATATAAATGTTCGACTTGAAAATGGATTGAAAATTAATTAAATCATGGAATAAAGTATAAGAGTAAAATAAAGCGTTTTCCTCGATATTATAAATTTTATTATTAATATATACCCATGAAACATTTTTCCAACAAAAAAGTTCATTAGATATTCATAGATCAAATTCTGAACGAAAAAAGGAGTTAAGACCAATTTTGTATTTTTACTTTTCTACCTATACTAGGTAAGGAAAGTATTGAGATCAGGTCAAATTTCCGATATGCAGTTTCAAGATCAATGATAAAAGAGACTTTCAGGAGGTCTGATACAACTGCAGTACTGCAGCAGTTACAGAATCCATACTCGAGGCAGCATATTTCTGTAATCCTGATTCGAGAAATAATTCGGCATAATGGTAAGCTTTGTGTTATTAGACCTCCTGAAGTCCCTTTTATCATTGACGTAAGAAAATTTAATAATTACTGTTTTCTAAAAAAAAATGTTGTCTACTTTTTGATGGTAATTAAAATTTAATTATCTTGAACATTTTTTGAGAAATTCCTTCTTATTCAATAAAAACTAACGTTAAGAAAAATACTAAATTGGTTCTAATTCCTTTTCCGTTCGGAATTGGCCCATTAGATCAGATGAACTTTTTTGTTTGGAATTTCGTCTAGAATCACCTCCCTCTTCCCCACAGAGTTTTGACATTAAGAACTGAGACACCCTGCATAATCTCACTTCTTGAAACTCTTAATTGGATAAATAAACTGATTTTTTTTTTTCAATATGGGTATAAAATTTGAGATATTGTTATGGAGTATCATATTGAAGTTGTTCATTAGAGCAGGATTAATTTACCCTAAATAAAAAATATTTATATGTTCTATACTTGTATCTATTAAAATAATTATACCATCATTGTGAGTGGAGTTTTCTTGTTTTGCTGGTGGTTCGGGTTCCTTCGATTTCATCTGTATACCTCCATCATCATCCCCGCTACCGATACCATCATCCTCGTCATCTTCCCACTCAAGTTCCAACTTATCATCATCTTGGCGAGAAACTGGTGCAGACCAATCGATACCACCACTGTCGAATAGGCTTTCAGCTGAAATAGAATAATAAAGGGAAAAAACGACATTACAAAAACATCGAACTAGAATGTTCAGTAATTTTATTGGTTTATTATGTATTAAAAATATTTAAATAAATAAAAGTTGTGGATGCTGTGGATCACTACTTCAATACACAAATTCTAATCCTTAACCTCATTCAAACAATAGTTATTTTACCATCTGCTAAGCAATCAATCTTCAATTGTATGCTATTTATTATCTATGCTGTTTATATATTATCACGGTCGTATATATTTATCTATAGTTGAAATGTTAACTTGTGCCTTTCTTTCATTTTAATTTTAAGGTTTGATAACTATGTAATTTAGTTACTATATTAAATCAATATATGATTAATTTTGTGAGAAAATCTCTTTTAATGTTTTGTATTATACTTAAAACATTTTTTATGATGTAGAGACGGTTGACCGTGATATAATATGAGAAGGAGTTGATCGGGGGGTGCGGTCAAATAAATACTAAATACTAGGCGTTTGCCAAGAGACCTGTTGTTCTGGTTCATATTCGACGCTGTGAAGCTGCCAAACAATTTGCTGATCGCAAATTTAATTTAATTTGCTAAAATTTTGTTAAGTTCATAAATAAAGAAATAATGTTTTGCTGTTTAAACACACAAAAAAATGTTTGAATGCATATAAAAATGTTTTAAGAGGACTTGATCGGGGGGGGGGGGGTGCGGTCAAATAAATACTAAATTATAGAAATAGTATTATTTAATTATTATGCCGACGTTTCGACCCATCATGCAGGTCTTCATCAGAGCTACAATAGATACAAAATATAAAAGGTACATGGTGAAAATAAAATAAATGAATAATAAGTAGATATTAAGTAAAAAAAAGTTGTCTGATAAAGAAATAATAAGATGATATCAGAGATATAATGGGTGACAATGTAATTAGAATATCAAGTATTATATAAATAGAAATACATGACATTCTAACTACATTGTCACCCTCTATATCTCTGATATCATCTTATTATTTCTTTATCAGACAACTTTTTCTTATTTAATATCTACCCATTATTCATTTATTTTATTTTCACCATGTACCTTTATTATTTTGTATCTTTTGTAGCCCTGATGAAGACCTGCATGGTGGGTCGAAATGTCGGCATAATAATTAAATAATACTATTTCTATAATTTAGTATTTATTTGACCGCACCCCCTCCCCCCTCCCGATCAACTCCTTCTCTAAAACATTTTTATATGCATTCAAAAAAAAAAAAATTCTGTTTAAACAGCAAAACATTATTTATTTATTTATTAACTAAACAAAATTTTTGGAAATTAAATTAAATTTGTAATCAGCAAATTTTTTGGCAGCTTCACAGCGTCGAATATAAACCAGAACAACAGGTACCTTGGCAAACGCCTACATAATCATCATGGTGGGCTGTAGGGGTTTCTTGTACTTTTAAGGACTTCTGTCAGATGATTCATGTTGTACGTCAGTCTTAAGAGTTAACAGATATATTTTTTAACATATTACAAACAGGATAAACAATCCACCTTAAGGATTAATTCATCAGATAAGAAGTGTATCATAGTGACATAAAAATAAACAAAAAAACTGAAAGGGCTTATTTGCCAACTGTCCAGAAAAATTCATCCTGTGTCCCTTAGTTTCTCGCCATGACCATGTGTATTCCTATCTTTTGAGACCAGGTTCAAGTCTGGCTGTGGGAGACAGATAATTATTATGAGGTCAAGAAACCTCCATAAACACAGCTTCTATAAAGTGAGTGCTCTTAACTTGGGAAGAAAAATGGGGAGTTGAGAATGATTTTAGCCAATCTCCTTGCATTGCTCTTATCTTAGAAACAGCACTTCCTTAAAAATTACTGATAGTGAGAACCTTCAGTAGTAATATAAGATTATTTTTTATTAATACTTAAATTACCTTTTGCTGATCCATTAGATGTTTCAACTGTCGCAGTATTGTTAGTTGTATCGTTCCAATTCAATATTCCCGTATCGATCTGCTCATTGTGAAGTTTTGCTGTTTTACTCGGACTGTTAAGGAGACCTGGAAAAAAGAAAAAGAAGAATAAATTTATATCAATTATTCACTTAAAAATGTTATGAATATAATTTAATTGAATTTTTGATAGTTGACCATTGTACATTATTCAGTAAGGAGATGGTTCGGGGTGGGGTCATAAAAAGGCTGAAATAATGAAAAAAACTACTTTTATTTCAAGGAAACGTTTCAAACCAACTTTGAAGATCTTCTTCGGGGCTAAAACTAACAAGATACAAAAGGATATAAAAATTGTGTTGATTGACCAGTTTCTGTAAGTCATTCTATATTGGTCTTTCTTCTCCATGTGTTTGAGATTTCTTTGAATTTCAATACCTTTGAGAGGGAGAAGAAAGCTCTGTTTGGGCTAGTTATAGGTTGGTCTATTTCTGCCCATAGGTCATTCATTGAGGTTATTGTGGAGCCGAGGTATTTGAATTTTTCTACTCTCCAGAACAATTTTCCTTCAACGCAGATCCTGTTATTGGGGTGTAATTTCCGGCTTACTATCGTATATTTTGTTTTGTCGTTATTTACTTGTAGGCCGATCTCCTCTGCCTCTCTACTCTAATTAGAGTCTTTGTGAGTTTCTCAATGTCCTCTCGATTACTTCCAAGGACAGATATATCATCTGCGTATCCAAGGATGATGATAAACTAAAATTATATTAAAAAGATAAACAAAGGATAATAGTCCTGAGAATCCTTAGGTATCACCGAAAAATAAAGAAAGAAACTTGATGGTATTTTTCATAAAAATAAACAAGTTTTTTAAGATATGTTTTAATTATCGTCATGACGATGATAAAGTTCTTATCATGAGAAAAAAGATGGCCGTCAAAAATATTGAGCAGTTTGGCATGACCTACACCCTCAAAATTTCAAAATAACGAAGTTATATAGTACAAACGGCCCAATATTTTTGTATGTCACCTTTTTTATCTATTTTGTGATCAAATTATCTTACGATCCAAGTAGAAAGCAAATGTGTATTTACGAGTTTTTAGTACCTAATTAAATAGACAAAGTTTGCCCCCCTCCAGATTGAAAACTCCCCAATTCCAAGAGTTTTCGTAAATAAAATATTTGTAGGTCACGATGAGATGAAACTATTTACGAAGTTTCAGAGGGATGTTAATAATTGGATAAAAAGGGGTCTGTACCACGGATTAATGGTTTTATTACATTTGAGATACTGAAATAAACATTTAAAAAAAATTTTTCACGAAAAATAAATTTATATAGAATTTTTCCCCCACTCCCCACGGTTTTATTGATTATACAAAAGACAATATATAAATACAATTATAGATATATATACAGTTTTCAAAGATCTTTTTTTTTTAACGAAAACATTTTATTGTAAAGGGCTCTGCATGCTGCATGCATATTTTACATTTATGGCCGCAGGATGCCCTTTACCTTAAAGGACAAAAAAAGGAACTTTGGAAATTGTATATATATATATATATATATATATATATATATATATATATATATATATATATATATATATATAATTGTATTTATATATTGTCTTTTGTACAATAAATAAAATCGTGAGGGGGGAGGTAAAACAAATATATATATAAAACTAAATTAAGTTCATTTCCATGAATGTGGTAAAACAAATAGATTGTAATTGAATTTCAAGATTGTGATTTTCTAAATTTAATTTGATAAGATTAGTTAAAAATAAAACTGTAGACTGTAAACTGGCGTCATTGTAAATTTTATATATACATTGTTTTATGTAATAATAAATAAAATGAAGAGATAAAGGTTACATTTTTTTTAATCAGTCCAACTACAGGTTTAAAAATATTACTAAGAAAATAATTTGAAATTGGATTTTTTTTTTTCACCTTAAAGACTTGTTCTTGTTCAATGTTTTTTTCTTCAGTTTTTTATTTTGATAAGAATATATTTAAACACGCCTTCACACTTCCATTAATTTACTTTCTTAATGTAACGATTCGTAAAAGTTTTCCATTAACAAGAAATTCACTATTATCAATTTTTTACCAAATATAAGCACCTGTCATGCTCAAATACCATGAATGGGGTACCATTGGATTCAGAATTTCACGGGGGTTTAGCGAATCGTATTCTCCACTTTTGTTTTTCTTTCTAAAATAAATAAAGTCGATTCAAACATTTTGATAGGCTTCAATACTGGAACGGTGGTAGGTCTGTAGATCGATACGGGACAAATTGGACCTTGAAGATTTTGATGCGTATAGCAAGACCCGGAGATTTCCTCCAGAACTATCGGATCCTGCGTTTTAAGCCCAAAACGTACTATTTTCGAGATAACGCAAGGCATAGGGTTCGCATCCACACAACCTTACGTTAATTGTAGTACTGTCATTGAATACATGTCTCATTTCGTCGACTTGAGGTCTCTATGATCGAGAGAGGAGGAGTTTATATTATTTATCGATGGTGTTTTTGATCGGCAAGCCATATCATCGTTAATTCTTCACCAAATCTCAAGATTGAGCCACCAATTTCGAAGGCTTCCTTCTCCTTCAGGCGGCAAAATAGTCCAATCACCCCGAAAATTCAGGCAAACAAGTTATGAAAGAAAACAAACTTTATTTGCGAATAACTAAAAAATTACACTCTTTTCCCTTGGTTATACCCATGAATATATAAAAGATTACTAAATTCCCTACAAAAGGAAAAAAAAATCATCGAAATCGGACAATTTTTAGCAAAGATACAGCTTATTGAAATTTGTAAACATGTTGGTTCCAAACAAAAATGAAGATTTAAATTAATTTTTGTTTCCTTTGTTGATTATATTTATCGATAAAGTAACATTTGATTTCTTTATCTTTTGATACGTTGCATTATTTTATTTTCTTATTAATTTGGCATTTGATAACAATATGCTGTGCGAATTTTTCGCACGGGCCTACTAGTAAATAAATAATAATAAGGCTTAGCGAACCCGAAGGTTCGATGCCGACACCACCAATCGCTTGTTACACACCTCCCTCCACCGTTCGCCGTCCAAACCCAGTCCCTTCAGATCGGCTTTAATGCAATCTTCCCACCTTCGCTTCGGTCTACCCCTCGGACGCTTACCATTCGGCACAGCAAACATTAACCCTTTAGGAATTCTCTCGTTACTAAGCCCAACAACTTTACAAGCCCATTTGATTCGCCGCGATGAAATTACATCAATTATATTCCCCGGATACAGCTCACGCAATTCGGCGTTGTGTAGCCGTCTGAACTCTCCGGTTAACTCATCCTTCTTCGGTCCGAATATTCTACGCAATACTTTATTTTCAAAAACCTTAAGACGCTGCTCATCCCTTAATGTAAGCGGCCAAGTTTCGCATCCATAAAGAACTGTAGGCAAGATAATTGTTTTATAGATTCTAATTTTTAAGTTCGGGACAAGAGGCGCGAACTAAGTAGTTTTGTCACAGAAAAATAACAAGCATTTCCCGCCTTCAGTCTAACCTTAATCTCTTCTTCAATTTCGTTTTTTCTAGTTATCGTTGAACCTAGATACCTAAATTTATCTACCTGTTCAAACATATTACCATCTATATCGATGTCACCAGTAGTATCGCCATTTTTGCAGCTAACCATATATTTTGTTTTATCCACGTTTATTTCGAGTCCTAGTTCTTTACCGGCTTTCATTAACGTTGTCGTATTTAGTTTTATAGTTTCAACGTCTTCGCTTAACAGTACCAGATCATCAGCATAGCCCAGCACGGATGTTGTCCCGCCCAGATCCAACCCTTTCTCGGTTCGCATTACCTCCCTAATGGCATGTTCTAATGCCAAATTGAACAGGACAGGCGAAAGAGAATCCCCCTGTTTTAAGCCCGAACGAACCTCAAATTTTTCGGACAAATTATTACCGATTCTAACTTTATTGAGTGTCTCCGTCAAGCACATCCTGACTAGATTTACTAGTTTTTTTGGAATCCCCTGCTCGATTAGAATATTATACAGTTTCTGGCGGTCAATAGAATCGTAAGCCTTTTTAAAATCTATATACAGCTGGTGAACAATACCGTTATACTCCAATTTTTTCTCTAATATTTGCCGTAAAGAAAATATTTGATCAATAGTCGAACGATTCCGTCTAAATCCGCATTGGTAGTCTCCGATAATTTCCTCGGCGTATTCCGTGATTCGACTGGTTAAGATTGAAGTGAATATTTTATAACATACCGGAAGGAGTGAAATTCCTCGATAGTTATTACAATCCGTCCTCGGACCCTTTTTGTGAATCGGAATAAGAATAGATTCTTTCCATTCTTCAGGTAATTTCTCGTTCACCCAGATCTTTTTAACCAACCGATGTATTTTAGAAACTCCAGCTTCCCCGCATGCCTTAATTAGTTCAGTAGGAATATTATCGATTCCCGCTGCTTTATATGATTTTAATTTTCCGATAGCTACTTCAACTTCCTCTTTACTTGGTCCTTCTATTAACGGTTCAGCACTCTGGTACTCAGAAGGAGGACACAGATCATAATTTCCCGTATTTAAAATATTGTCAAAGTGGTCCTTAAACTTATTCAATATGTCAACCGGATCGGTCAGAATATTGTTATTATCATCCCTAATTCCAGACGTTACGGGCCCTACATATTTACGTGATCTGTTTATACCTTTGTACATGTCTCTTACGTTATTTTCGATTCTATTAGTTTCTATTTCAATTATTTTATTTTTAAGATACTCCCTTTTTTTATTTTTGAGCAATTTTGTCGTTTCGTTCTTTGAGATTCGGAAGTATTCCAGATTGTCTTCGCTAGGATTATTTAGAGCTTTTAATTTAGCGGCTTTTCTTTTTTCGCACATGTTTAAGCAATCTTCATCAAACCACGGTTTGTTATTCTTATTTTCCTTTTTTCCTAGGCACGAGTTACCGACCGCTTTAATATTATCCCTGATCTCTACCCATAACTTGTCAATATCCTCGTGGTCCTCGTCAGGAAGCTCTAAAGCTTCAAACCTATTCTTAACATCTAGCTCGAATTGGTTTCTAATTGATGGATTTTTTAATTTTTCCAAATTAAAATTCTCAAAATCGAAACGGTTTTCTTTTCTCTTTTTTATATTAAGTTTTTGTCGAAGTTTCGCGATTACTAATTCATGATCCGACCCACATTCTGCTCCGCGATAAGACCGTACATTAATTATACTGCTTTGCCAGCTGTGTTGTATCAAGACATGATCGATTTGATTTCGTGTTTGCGAATCCGGTGATGTCCAAGTATATTTATGAATATCCTTATGTTTAAACGTCGTACTTTTAATTATCAGGTTTTTCGAGATGGCAAAGTTTATCAGACGGATCCCATTATCATTACTATATTCGTGCAAACTTTCTTTACCAATCGTCGGAATATAAACTTCTTCCCTTCCTACCTTTGCGTTCGCGTCACCTACAATTATTTTCATGTAGTTTCGCGGTAGTTTATCATAAACCCATTCGAGTTTATCGTAAAATTCACTTTTGACTTCATCGTCACTGTCTTCGGTCGGACAATGTATGTTTATTAATGCGATTTTAAACCAACGTCCCTGAAATGTAGCTACCGAAATTCTATCACTAAAGAATTGTACGTCCCTCAAAGCGGATAGTAATCTACTCCTAATTAGAAACCCGGTACCTAAACAATGATTCCCGCTTCCTCCGTACCAAATAGTGTACTTTCCTTCCCTCAGCGAGCCCTCCCCTGGCCAGCGAACCTCTTGCAGAGCCACGACATCCAAATTGTACCCATTTACCTCATTCGCGACCGATTTTAGCCCCCCTGCTGTGTTTAAACTCCTTACGTTCCACGTACCAATATTTAAATCCCTATATTTCAACTTGCGCCATGAATCCCCTAAGTAAATACTAGTAAATAAATAGTTAAGAAATATGAAGAATTGTTATTAAATTAAAATTATCCCTTTTAGCATATAAAATTTGAAAATAATTTGTGCCTAAGAGGAGGATACAAACTATCGTTAGTTCCAAAGTATCGATATATCGATAGTACAGTCGACTATCGCTCGTCCCGACGTTGCAGAATAACGCCTTTTAGGTTAAAGATTGATTAACACCGATCAGTTTGTGAAGGTTTCAGTACTTTAACGCGAACAACGCCGCGAATACTCCGCCAAACACATATAAGGGTCGTTTTGGGGTGTGAACAGTTTTATTTTTAGTACATTTTTGTTGTAGTTGAGTTCGTGTTCAGTTTTATGAATAAAAAAAAAAAATTAAATTGATTAACTAATCGATAAAAGAAGCTAACATATGTGCTATATTCTTAATGTTGTACAATAAGCACGTAGGTTTTGTTATAGAACTTTCAACAATGGAATAGAAGAAAAAAAAACAACAACTAAATAACTAAACCAACTACGATCGAGGGGCAGAATTAATGACACCTCTAAACTGGAATGGCATTCGCTCAAAGTTTTCTTTTACAATTTCTTATGGAAGAGATACATTGGACATAACGTTGCAGATTCGGGATGGTATGCATAAGTGTTAACAAAGGTACCATATCCCACGTCAGGCACATCGGCCCATGGATATCCTTTAACAGGAAATATGGATTACCTGTGAGTCATGTCTCATAATTAATATAGCCTTTAAGGTGAAAAAAAAAAGCCAAATACGAGAGTGAGTACATGGCTAATATAAAAAAAATTTGGTTCAACGAATTTCTTTTTAATTCAAGTTAAAAGAATTTCAATTTTTGTAATTTTATATAACTCATTTCTTATTGTCAATAGCCTTAGAGTTAATAACGCATGAACCTCCCTCCCTCACCATCTTCCAAAATACCCCCCTCCATCTATTTGTAAGTAAAATAGTTGTAGGCTACGATGATATGAAATTATTTACGAAGTTTCAGGCGGATGTTAATAATTCGATAAAAATGGGTCTGTACCACGGCGATAACAGGTTCACTCAGAAATAGAAATGCGTGGTGGGGGGACTTGAATCGTGAATAGTATTTTTGTAAACCTTTAAGATATTCGGTCACTTTCGTCTACATTTGGAGACACTCGAACATTTTCGGAATTCCATTTATGGTGTGATCATGGATCTTGGCTACCTATCAAAGTGGAGTGATACTTGTGCAGTAGTACCCCCCGATTGACAATCGAAAAACAGTATTAAACGATAATACGACGTTTTCCAAGAAACCATCCATGTAGCATTGCTATACCACAATCGAATCATAGAATAAGAAATAACCTATTCTATAGATCAATGAAGCATTGAATTCAACACTGCTTCAGTAATCATATGTCCAGAAACAGTAATCACTATATTAGCTGCTTAGGAGGACGTATTTTCGTTTAAAAGGAATATTTTATCAAAATGGCCCGCACATATAAGAAATAGCTGAGCAGTAAAATGACCAAGGTATAATATTTAAGACAAATATAGATTTCACTATTTATTATGAAGTTATTTTCAAATATCGATACCTATAGAACTAGGGCATATTATAAAGGCTGTGATAACCTTTGCCATATGTTTTTATTTAAGGGTGATTCTCATTTTAGGGGCAAGTTTTAGTCTAATATAACTTTTACGTGATTAGTTAAGTCTAACTTGATTTTTACCCCACTGCTATACAGTGAAGAAATATTTTTTCATAATGCAATATTAAAGAATAGTGTGATTTTATAATTACTTAAGCTACTAAATGCCATTACCACGTATTTTCCCACTCTCAGTTTTCAAGTAAACAACTTTTTCTTTCTTTCGAAACCTAAGTAAAGTAACAGTGAAATTTATTTCCACTCCTAAAGAATAATTAAGGAATTTTGTATTATATATTTTTTTTAACAGTGAAGTATGTTTATGTATTTTCAAACATAGTTCCATCTCTTTTATGTCATTACCAAACAAAAAACATCAGATATTTAAGCCTTAAAACGAGAGAACAGTGGAAAAAGTTCTTCTGAGTGTAGTAGTTGCCATGGAGTTAAACGACAGGCACCAGCGGATAGACCGACCAGTTGGGAGCCTCTAAGCATTCGTTTCTTGTTTGGTGAGCACGTACCTTTATTGTTGTCATTACCACCGCGTATATTATCTCTCTATCTGTTCAAATTATTTCATTTATTATAAATCACGTTTGAATACGGTTTGTAGCAAATCAGTTTAAAAAAATATATATATAATACTAGCTACACAGTGGTTTTGGCCGAATAAAATACCTAAAAATGTCATTACCAAGTTGAAAACTCGTTTCATTCCCACAACCGAATTATTAGCTTTAATTACCGAGAAAAAAATCACTTATAATCTTGGCCATATGCTCAGAGAAAGCTGAACGACAATAGAAGGCGTAGGTATTTAGAAAATTGTATTTAAATGCCCTCAAAATTATATCATGAAAATTTCCCATTATCTGAGAATCACCACACAATGGATTATTACTTCAAAATATTTATATATCATAGGTATATTGCAAAAAAGTCACCAAGTACATTTTTTATATAGGTTAACTATCAAAAATGTTTTTAAGAATATCGATTTCATTTATCGATACAATAACATTGTAAGAACATGAAAATAAATCAAACCTTTCAATACATAAAATCTCCATCCCGACATATATTATTACAGTAAGGATCGAAATCGGTTTTGTACCAAATATAAGCTCCTGTCATGCTCAAATACCATGAATGGGGTACCGTTGGATTCAGAATAACACGGGAGGTTAGCGAATCGTATTCTCCACTTCTGTTTTTCTTTCTAAAATAAATAAAGTCGATATAAACATTTAGCTAGGCTTCAATACTGAAACGGTGGTAGGTCTGTATATCGATACGGGACAAATTGGACCTTAAAGACCCGGATCCTGCGTTTTTAAGCCCCAAAACGTACTATTTTCGAGATAACGCAAGGCATAGGGTTCGCATCCACACAACCTTAAGTTAATTGTAGTACTGTCATTGAATACACGTCTCATCTCGTCGACTTGATGATCGAGAGAGGAGTTTATATTATTTATCGATGGTGTTTTTAATCGGCAAGCCATATCATCGTTAATTCTTCACCAAATCTCAAGATTGAGCCACCAATTTCGAAGGCTTCCTTCTCCTTCAGGCGGGAAAAATAGTCCAATCACCCCGAAAATTCAGGCAAACAAGTTATTTAAGAAAACAAACTTTATTTGCGAATGACTAAAAAATTACACACTTTTCACTTGGCTATGCCCATGATTATATAAAAGATTACTAAATTCCCTACAAAAGGAAAAAAAAATCATCGAAATCGGACAATTTTTAGCAAAGACACAGCTTATTGAAATTTGTAAACATGTTGGTTCCAAACATTAATGAAGATTCAAATTAATTTTTGTTTCCTTTGTCTGTTATATTTATCGATAAAGTAACAATTGATATCTTTATCTGTTGATACGTTGCATAATTTTATTTTCTTAATAATTTTGCATTTGATAACAATAGCACAATTTTCTGGTTTCATAAAGGAAAATTTTATAAAGATCTTGATTAGTTAACCTTATGAAATATCACTTAATGGCTTTTATAATATACAGTCGGCATGTTATATAAATCCCACAATCAAAATAGAATGGTTTCATCCAACTTTTTCTTTAAAACTGAACCAAAAAAAATAGATTTGCATTGATTATGTTTAAGCGCGAAGAGGTAAAATATGATAAAATTCATGAATTATGCAATAGTAATATAACAAAAAATGCATGAAGGATAGTTCAGTTTTTAAGATAATCATTATTCTATTGTTGATATATCTAAAACAAAATTCTCGAATAATAATAAGTATTAATTAAAATGTTAACATATACGGAAGAAACGTTTCTGTTGATGAAGGTTATCTTGGGTGAGGAAAACGAAAAGAACTATTCCATGAAAAAATTATACATTCATAAATAATTAATTCAATAGCCGAATTCTTCCGCTTATGACTTTTAGCTGGACAGTCCCGTTTTTTTAACAATTTGTTTTAAAAACGTCCCGATTTTTGGAAAGAAATTATACGGTCTTGGTGGAAATGTAGCTATTTTGATAGGTTATGAGTTTTACCTTTATTATTTTTATTGATTTCATAATCGTTAAAATAATTATTCAGTACTGTTTATCGAGAATTGCTTAGCAAAGTTCGCATTGTTGTTATAATTCGACCACCATTGTAAGGGTAGGTATTGGGGAAATTTGTTGACCTGTTTGGGTAATGGGAAAAACCTATAAAATCACAGTATCTAAAATTTGAAGATATGGATGGATACAAGGGAAAAATACTATATCTATGAAATAATAAATTATAAGTATATACATATACATATAAAATAGAAACGTTGGCTTTTAATAAAATAGTTTTGCCACTATTTAGCCTATTTATGACCGTCACCTCGGACCATCTCCTTCCTTTATAATGCAACGGTCAACAATTAAATATTCAAGATGTATATAAGTTTTTATATAGTTGTAAATTTCATAAATAAACACACAAAAAAACTTTCCTTCTATATTCTTTTTTTTTAATATTTTAATTATAAAAAATACATTATTATTATTATTATGTATTATTTTTTTGTGTTCATTGGCTCCAGTATTTGAGAGAAGTTTATGGAATCCAGATGAAGGCTGCAGCCTCGACAAGGATCCGTGCAAATGGAAAACTCGAAATAAATAAAATTCACAAAGATGAAATTAAGTTACATCAGCAAAAAATCGAAATGTTGAGGAAAAGTTTCACTTTGGAACCGAACACTATCCCGATCAACATAACAGGTATCAAATAATGATTAGGTTATTTAAAAAAAAGGATCTGGTGCGCACATAACACTTACTCTTCTTAGCAGAAATCATTAATTTCAGATAAAGGGAAAGTGAAAGTAAAAATTATAGACGCTATATTTATTTACATTTCATTGTGGGTATTTTTTTTATTTGTATAAGTATCCTTATATATACTTAACTTAATCCAGTCCTCTGTTACCGCTGAGCAGTGTGAGGTTCCTTCTTATAGAGCCTGATCCACGAATCTCTATCCTGTGCCAGCTGTCTTCTCCTACTCCAGTCCATTCCTCTCCTGTCAAAGGCTTCTTTAACTCCTTCTTTCCATCTTTTTCTTGGTCTTCCCTGTGGCCTCCTTCCCTCCACTTTGACCTTGTAGGTAGCCCTGGCAATTCTGTTTTCAGCCATTCGCGAGATATGTCCAAACCACCTAAGTTGGTTTTCTTGGATTATCTCCTCTGCATTTCTCAGGTCCAGATTACCTCGTATGGTCACATTCCTAATGAGATCTCTTCTTGTTTTCCCCTCTATTTTCCTTAGATAGCGCATTTCCATAGCTTGGATTTGGCTTTTGTGCTTGGCAGTGAGGGTCCAAGACTCGCTTGCATACGTCAATGTAGGGAGGAAAGTATTCTTAAAGACAATTTTCTTAGTGGTCTTTGAGACTTCTTTTTTGTCCAAGAAGCCTGACTTGAGGGAGTAGAAGCATTTTCCTGCCGTCTTAATTCTCTCTTTAATTTCTCCATCCACCCATCCGAACTCGTTAAGGTGAGCGCTCAGGTATTTAAAATCCTTAACTTCTTCCACCCAGCCGAACGATCCGGTCTCCTCGGTCTCTTCTTTTCCCAATCCTCATGAATTTTGTTTTCGAGATGTTAATTTCCATGTTTATATTTATCATCTCAGCTTGAAGGATCTTGAGGTTAAACTGCAGATTACGGCAGTCATTTCCGAACACTACCATATCGTCAGCAAAAGCAAGCAACGTATACTGGACGCTCTGTAGGTTCCTGTATTCGAGGTGGTATGGCCTCATTTTCTGTTCTGCTTGTTTTAGGGCAGAGTCCAGCACTAGTATAAGCAAGAGGGGGCTAAGGCTGCATCCCTGTTTGATTCCTTGATCTGTTGTCAATTCTTTTGATGTGTGGTTGCACATCCTAATTACATTTCTCTTTGTTTCATATATACTTAGGATGGCTGTTCTCAATCCCATATGAACGCCACACTCCTCCAATGCTCTTGATATGTCTGCCTTCTGCACTCTGTCAAACGCTTTATTTAGGTCTACAAAACAAGCGAAGACCTCTCTGCTCTTTTCTATAATCTTCTCGGATATTTGTCTCATCGTGAATATCAGATCCTGTGTACTTAAGTAAATATTAAAATTTGTATATATCCTTATATATACAAATTTTAATATTTATATCGCTGTAATCTATACAATTAAATATTAAATAATACCAACAATAACATTTATGAAAACCACATATCTATATTTATATAATATTGTCCGAGTCCGTATTATATTAAGCTCATGTTACTATGGAAATCTTTGTTACTTTGGTTCTCTCTATACAACTATTCTCTGTTACGATATCTTATTTCTCCTTTAGTTAATTATCAAATTCTTTCATATTTTATATTTAACAATATTTTATATTATAAATGTATGAGAAATGGTCAATTGTTTCATATAAACAAAATTAAAGGTACTTTAGAGGAAGCTAATATTGAACATTAGCCATTTAAGCTCTGTTAGAGAACATCAATCAGAATAAAATCTACATTTTATTTAAAACTGCTTAATTTTACACTGATATAATGAATTTAATCAAGTGATGCCCAAATGCAAGACCAAGACTCGTCTTGGTCTTGCAAACTAATTCTTGGTCTAGGTGTTGGTCTTGCTCAAGACTCTCGTAACAGTCTTGCAGTTACCTATTAGCTTATTACTAGAGAGATATTACTGTAATTTTTTAGATATGAGAAACCTAAGTCTGAATGAAAACTTAGAAGAGTTAAATGCAAAAGTATATTGGTTACACCAATTCTTAACACACAGTAACTAAAATTTTCAAGTATTATTAACTATTTTATCTCAATTTTTATTCAAAAAATAGATTTTTTTTTACCACTCTTGGTTTTGATCTTGCAACAGATAGACGGCGTTGGTCTTGGTCTTGCAAAGTGCAAGACCAAGGCCGATTTTGGGCAACACTACGTATGAAGCCTGTTATAATCTTTCGGGTGAAATCGTATTCCTTCGGGTCCTCTGTTACAACTATTATCCGATACGATCTCTTATTTCTCCTCTAGTTAATTGTCAAATTCTTTCATATTTTATATCAATGATTAATGTGAAATAGTTAATTATTTAAAAAAATAAATAAAAATAAAGATACTTTAGAGGAAGCTAATATTGAAAGTTAGCCAATTGAAGCCCTGTTAGAGAACATCAGTAACAATCCAATATACATTATATTCAAAACTGCCTAATAATACACACTGATATTCTGAGTTTAATCAAAATCGTAATAGCGGTTTTGGGAGAAATACTATAAATTATAAAGTACCATTTCAGGTTTGTCAATTTTGACGATAAAGTTGCTGTAATATCCCAGGCTTATAAAAACCTCAAAAACGCATTTTATGGTTCGTACGACTTTTCGTTTTTGAGCTAGTCTATTCACACACACACACGGGCGGATCTACGGGGGGGGGCTTTCGGGCTGAAGTCCCCCCCCCCCAAAATGGAAAAATATTACCATGTTTTATGGGGAAAAAAAAATTAAATTCTACCTCTTGAAGTATTATTGTTCATGTAATTACATTTAAAAGTACTTAAGGAATAACTTAAACACCATTTTATATAGGTAGTTAGTTTCTTTCTGTTTTTCCAAAGTAATTATCGTTATTTTTATGAAAAAAAAAGGTTTCGGGCTGAAGCCCCCCCCCCAAAATTAAATCCTGGATCCGCTAGTGCACACACAGACACAAACCATTTTGTGGGACTTAGCTAGTGGGACTCAGGATATCTCAAAACGTGTATTTCTTCCGTTGAAAACACAGATTCGAAAATTTTCACAATCGCAATAATTTCCCTTACTATATATTACATATATATCTATATATATACGATATGAGTGTGTGTGTTTTGTAGGTATATATATATATATATATATATATATATATATATATATATATATATATATATATATTTTATTTTGTATATAAATTATATTTACATCTTATGTAGGTTTTTTATTAGGTTTTGCCTAGTGTAAAAATGGATTTCAATTCTCTTAATAGCATTCAAACCACATGTAAGGTCATGTGTAAGGTTACTTCAACCACAAACATGTAATTTATCATTATGACGTGATGTGATGTATGAAAAAAAAGGTGTAAATAATTAATAACTACCAAAAAGGAAAAAAAATATATTAAACATTTAGGTAGCTGAAAGTAAAAACAAATGAAGAATCATTTACGATTTTTTTTTAAAACTAAACTTAGCTTACTTAAGCCGTTTAAGAGCCAGTTGCTCCAACTCAGTAAAGATTAGATTAAGCGTTATCTAAGATTAAACCTAGTTTAATCTTGATCGGTCGACCTTAGCCGCTTAAACTTCGAACAAAAACTTAGTTTACTAGAGTTACCCTTGGCAACTATGATAACCTTCCACTGTTTTTTGTATCTGTCGATCTTAGAAAACTTCGTTTAATCTTAGATAACGATTAATCTAAGCTTTAGTAAGTTGGAGCAACAGGCTCTAAAAGTCCTCATCGTGTGATATTTCTTTAGTTATCGCTTCAATAGAAAACCTGTTCAATAAAAAACACGACCTACTACTTTCTATTGAAAATATATGTTTATATTTTATATAAATAAATTTAATAAAGCAAGGAGATGGTCCGGGGAGGCGGTCATAAATAGACTGAATAGTGATTAAAACTATTTTATTAAAAGCCAACGTTTCGACCCGACTTTGCAGGTCTTCTTCAGGGCTAGAACGGACAAGATACAAAAATATAGAGAATTGTGGGAGTTACATAATATTTAGACAAGAAATTATAAACAATGTGAATAAGCTTATTAAAATTATAAACAGTAAGTACATTAAAATATAAAATGAGTAAGCTAAGTAACAAGATCCTAAACTGAAGTAAATAGATGTTAACAATTGTTGTAGTGTAATATAATATATATGCAGGTGTGAATATACTTCTACAGATCTACAGGAGAGATTGAAAGAAAATGAATAAGGATGTAATATGAAATAATATACATAAAAGAATGTGAAAAAAAGTAAACAAAAAATAAAGAAAACCAAAAAATAAGTAAATAAAATCAGCTAGGAGTTTCACTTAGAACTGGAAAACCAGGGTAAGGATTCTAAGTGAAACTCCTAGCTGAACACACCTGTAAGTCTCTATTTTTATTTACTTATTTTTTGGTTTTCTTTTTTTCACATTCTTTTATGCCTCCTACATTTCATATTACATCCTTTTTCCTTTTCTTTCAATCTCTTCTGTACATCTGTGGAAGTATATTCACATTTGTATATATTATACTATACTATAACAATTGTTACCATCTATTTACTTTAGTTTAGAATCTTGTTATTTACTCTGTTTATATTTTAACGTACTTACTGTTTATAATTTCAATAAGCTTATTTACATTGTTTATAATTTTTTGTCATAATATTATGTAACTTCCACAATTCTCTATATCTTTTTGTATCTTGTCCGTTCTAGCCCTGAAGAATACTTGCAAATTCGGGTCGAAACGTTGGCTTTTAATAAAATAGTTTTGCCACTATTCAGCCTATTTATGACCGCCACCCCGGACCATCTTCATTCCTTTATAATGCAACAGTCAACTATTAAATATTCAATAAATAAATTTAGTTTATATTCATATAAATATTTCATATATATATATTTATATGAATATATGAAAATATATATTTATATGATCTTTTTAGTATATCTTGAGGTCTGCTATAACTCATATAAATATTTACCTCTATTTACGAGACATCCTGTATAACTACATTATATTGGATAGTAACAATGAATTTATTCTCCTCCAATAATTTTACCAATAATTATTCTCCAGATTTCCAACTTATCCAATTTCTGAACAGCGTTAATTATGACGTAAATGAAGCCAAAGAAGTCCTCAAGTTGAGCTACAGGCACAAAAAAGAAAATAATGTGCTATTCACTGGGAGGAATCCACTGGATACCGACCTTCAAGAGGCCTGGAGTATACTGTAAGTTGTTATTTTATGCGGTGCGCACATCATACAACTTTCACTTACCACTCTCTTCTTAGTGGAAAAAGATATTTTCACACTAAGGGGAAGGGGAAAGTAAAAATTACAGGTACATTAAATTACAGTAAAAAATGTATTTATATGCATATACTCGTATAACAGGAATGAATACATTTAACCTTGTTACTTGTTGCCCTTCGATGTGGCAGAAGTATATGTATTTATATTTCATTGTGGGTATTTTTATTTGTATGAGTATCCTTATATATACAAATTTTAATATTTATATCGCTGTAATCTATACAATTAAATATTAAATAATACCAACAATAGCATTTATGAAAACCGCATATGTATATTTATATAATATTGTTGGAGTCCATATTATATTAAGCTCAAGTGCGGGGAACCTCAATTACAACTATTCTCCATTACGGTCTCTTATCTCTCCTTTAGTTAATTATCAAATTCTTTCATATATTATATTTAACTATCTTTTATATTAGAGATTAATGGGAAATGGTCAATTTTTTTCAAATAAAAAAAATTAAAAGTACTTTAGTGGAAGCTAATATTAAAAATTAGCCATTTAAACCCTGTTAAAAAACATCAATCTGAATAAAAACGACATTTTATTTAAAACTGCTTAATTTTACATTGATATGGTGAATTTAATCAAAATCGTTTCGATTTTCGATTCGGGCCATTTTCGAGAAAATCGTAAACATGTGTTCAGTCCATTATATGAAGTGCCACTTTGGGTAAGCCGATTTTGATGAAAAAGTTGCTGTAACATACCAGGCATATAGAAACCTTAAATATGCAATTTCACTTTCAAAAATTAAAAGGACTTTTAGTTTTTGAGCTAGATTGTAAACACATACAAACACACAGACCACTTTACGAGGCTGGGTTATTTGGACTCAGAGGACCTCAAAACGTGTGTTTCCGTTCAAAACTGAGACTCGAAAATATTCACGATCGCAATACTTTCCTTTACAAATATATAATTATCGCAGGGCGGAAGTACTATGCCAGAAACCTTCGCGAGAGTGTACGCAACAACTTCCCAAAGTTTCATAGCGATCGGATGAGTGGTTTAGTAATGCATAAAGGAAAAACGGACATACATTAATTTATATATATATATATATATATATATATATATATATATATATATATATATATATATATATATATATATATATATAGAAGATAATAATAATTAGATTAGAAAAAAAGGTGGTTGAAGAAATTCGATCGAAGAAACCGGCGTGCATAAAAAAAAAAAATTATCGTTTTTAATTTTTTTTTGTTTACTAAACGGAATCTTTATCCAACCTTGGATTTGAATTGCAATCTCTGAATTAAAATTTAATCTAACATTAAGTACCTTGAGAAAAAAATAATAATTCTAATTCAAAAATAAATTAAGATTAATCTAAATCTAGATTGAAGATAAACTTAACATATAAACTGAATAAGGATAAATAGTTTAATAAGGAAAATATTATGTTAATGCAATGCTGTTGAATTTGAAATCTATACTTAATCTTCCTCCTCCCCTCAAATTATGTAAAATATACAATTTTATGTAAACAAATATCATTTAATTTATTCTAAAAACAGTATGCAATATTAAATAATAAATTTTAATAAACGTTTAGTCATTTATCGAATGGATAATCGGTATTAAAAGTTTTACAATTATAATTTGAAAAGAATTTGGTTCAGGTGTTCAATTAGTAGTTAAATTTAATCGTTGAATCTTAAACTCTTAACTTATATAACTTGACATTTTCAATTAATTTCTGTGCGAACTATATTATGTTTTGATAGATTTAAGTAGATATCTTATTTTTCTAAATATTTTAATTATTTTCTTTTTTTAACTTCATTTTTTAAGTTTTTAATTATTATTGCATATTTATCTCACTTCCTCTGAACACATTATATACACACCAAGTTATAGAAAATTTTTGATAATTAAATTTTCTTCAAAAGTATATAGTATTTTACTTTTTTGTCTTAAACGGTTCAAAAGTTAGATGAGTTATAACATTATATGTAGATTCCGATAAATTGCAGAAAAAAAATAACTTTAATAATTAAGGTTCTTGTATGCAATTTATACATACAGATCACAGACGGATCTACGGGGAGGAGGGCTTTCGGTCTAAAACTCCCCTCTCCTCCCCCTCAAAATGGTAAAATATACTATATTATGTAAACAAATATTATTTGATTTATTCTAAAACAATATGCAATATCCAATAATAAATTTTAATAAACGTTTAGTCATGTATCGAATGTATAATCGGTATTAAAAGTTTTACACTTATAATTTGAAAAGAATTTGGTTCAGGTGTTCAATTAGTAATTAAATTTCCTCGTTGAATCTTACTCTCCTAACTTATATAACTTGACAATTTCAATTAATTTCTGTGCGAACGATATTATGTTTTGATAGATTTAAGTAAATCTCTTATTTTTCTAAGTATTTTAATTATTTTCTTTTTTTAACTTCATTTTTTAAGTTTTTAATTATTATTTCATATTTATTCCACTTCCCCTGAACACATTATATACACAACAACTTATAGAAAACTTTTGATAATTAAATTTTCTTCAAAAGTATATAGTATTTTACTTTTTAACCTTAAACGGTTCAAAAGTTAGATGAGTTATAACTTTATATGTAGAGTCCGAGAAATTGCAGAAAAAAATAACTTTTATTTTATTAGAGAGTTAGAGCAATATAATAATTACGAATATTATAAAAATTATTTTTTTTTTTGGAAATTTTTAGAATCGAAATATTTTTTATTTATTTTATTTTATTATTTTAATGGAATTTACAACTGTATTACATAGAGAATACAATAAGTAAGTGAGAAATTTGTAACATGGCATGTACAACATGAAGAGAAACTACCCATTGGTAGCACTCAATAGAATCGAAATATAAAATTATAACTGATCTTATTTTCCATTTTTGTTTGAATCTTCTATATATATATATATATATATATATATATATATATATATATAATACTTGATATTATAACTACATTGTCACCCACTATATCTCTTATATCATCTTATTATTTCTTTATCAGACAACTTCTTCTTATTTTATATCTACTTGTATTCATTTATTTTATTATTACCATGTTTTGTATCTTTTGTAGCCCTAATGAAGACCTGAAAAGTGTGTCGAAATGTCGGCAAAATTAAATAATACTATTTCTATAATTTAGTATTTATTTGACCGCACCCCCCGATCAACTCCTTCTCATATTATATCACTGTTTACCATCTCTACATCATTAGGAAATACATCTCAATTGACTATTTTTGAGCCCGAAACATTTTCTTTATTGCTCAGGGTAAATTGATAAAAAGAGGTCTATACAGCGGACTAGTGTTGAGACATCAATCCTACCTGGAAATATCATTATTTCTAAACTTTGCCAAAAATCATGCCAACGAATCGAAAATATGAGAAGACAGCACTTTCGGTTAATCGAGTAACCTATTCGTCTCCATTTCTGTCACATATGAATGAAGGAGTTTTTCTACAGATAGAAACAAATCTATACTAGATTCATAATAAAGTTTAACTCGCCCATGCCAGATTTGAACAGGCCCGGCTAGACTCGAGAATCTTAATGCGTCGGACCATCACTGTCTCTGTTACCTACATTACAACTAACAGTTAATAGGTTATTATAAGTTCTCAATAACTAAAGAAGAGTATTTCTTTATCTTGATGCACGCAGGAACATCTTCAGCCTGCCCCAGACGACGGCGCAGAACGAGAAGATCGTCTACTGCGGCCTTCTAAATCCGGACCCGGCCGTCTTCAAGCACCTTCCGGCGATGAAGCTCTTCACGATGGCCGTGGAGGCCTCCCTGATCACCGAAGGACTGTTTCCGGGTTACATCGTCATCTTGGACGCTTCCAACATATCCATCCGCCATGTTCCTCTATCGACCATACCTTCCATCAAGAAGTTCCTCTACTTCGTACAGGTAAAGTAAACAATCAATTAAAACATTAAATGGACAAATGACTACACAGAACGAGTTCTTTTCAAAATGAAAATGGAGTTAAAATACAACGCACATTGGTTAGGCCAAAAAAACTAGGAAACTTTCAATGTAGACAAAATATATTTAAAAAAAAACAACTAAATGTTTTATAAAATAAAATAAAAAGGCTTAGCGAACCCGAAGGTTCGATGCCGACACCACCAATCGCTTATTACACACCTCCCTCCACCGTTCGCCGTCCAGACCCAGTCCCTTCAGATCGGCTTTAATGCAATCTTCCCACCTTCGCTTCGGTCTGCCCCCCGGACGCTTACCATTCGGCACAGCAAATATTAACCTTTTAGGAATTCTCTCGTTACTAAGTCCCCATTTGATTCGCCGCGATGAAATTACCTCAATTATATTACCCGGATACAGTTCACGCAATTCGGCGTTGTGTAACCGTCTGAACTCTCCGGTTAACTCATCCTTCTTCGGTCCGAATATTCTACGCAATACTTTATTTTCAAAAACCTTAAGACGCTGCTCATCCCTTAATGTAAGCGGCCAAGTTTCGCATCCATAAGGCAAGATAATTGTTTTATAGATTCTAATCTTTAAGTTCCGGGATAAGAGGCGCGAACTAAATAGTTTTGTCACAGAAAAATAACAAGCATTTTCCGCCTTCAGTCTAACCTTAAATTTCTTCTTCAATTTCGTTTTTTCTAGTTATCGTAGAACCTAGATATCTAAATTTCTCTACCTGATCAAACATTTTACCATCAATATCGATATCGCCATTTTTGCAGCTAACCATATATTTTGTTTTATCCACGTTTATTTCGAGTCCTAGTTCTTTACCAGCTTTCATTAACGTTGTCGTATTTACACTAAATGTTTTATAGCATGTCTGAAATCGATTAACCTTATGAATCGATATAGACTAAAACCAAGTTGGTGAGAACTGCCACTGTTAATATTTCTCATAAATGAGGCGTTGTTTTATATTAAGAATTTTTATTTTATTTTATTTATTTATTTAGAAATATAATAATCTGTCACGTGGACAATAATTATAGTGATATATGAACACATTCACACCATATATACGGAACATATTAACAAAACTAAAATAATAATAAAAACTATGTACAATAAAAAAATTAACCTAAAGATAAGTAAATTAAAAAAAACATAAAAACACAGCCATACCTATATACAATTGGACAGGGAATCCCAAGTCAGGCTTCTCCCTCCAACTATAGAAGGAAAAGCAGGACTCCAAGAAATCCCTGCGCTACTCTCTCAACCGCGTCACTGGTGCTAAAGCCAGTGGAGTTTGAGCGAGAGCGCTTTAGCCACATACACTCATGTCTTGACTGGAGAATCTGACCATTGCCAGAACTCCAAGATATATACTACAATAGATCTCTGGGCCACTACCGGTTCAACCTTCGAGGATGACTGTAGAGATGAGTGGAACTAGATAGGGATTTGGATGATTTATAAGGTTCTGATGGAATAGGAAAATTTTTCAGGAATAAGATCGAGGAAAAATGGGATATTAAGGTCATGATGTAGGGTTTTGTTGCTTACATAGAACGGAGCTTCGACTATTGTTCGGAGGACTTTGGACTGAAAGGATTGGATGCGTTTTTTTTTTTTTGGTTTTTTGGCTTTAAGACTTGTAAAAGCAAGTCCTATTTTGCCAGCAAAATATTTTGTTTGCCATAGTGAGATGAAATTACGGTTTTTAGACGGAAATTACACTGGATTTATATTAATTATTTACAGTTAGATGATAATTGAAAGTGACTTATATGGGACTTGGATATTAGATATTAGATATGGAAACTAGCAAGACTAATGGTTAAAAACTGAGATGAATTAGAATTGCAATTAACTAAGAGCCGACTTTTATTATATGACTGCTTTGATGCCATTCATGAACTTTAACAAGTCACGAGCGTTATCTTTGTTCAACGACCGAATCCGTAGTTTGCGATCCCTAACTAATTCTTCTTCGCTTCTCGAACCTTTTGCACTTGAAGGCAATGTGTCTTGGATCCTCCAAGCATTGTCATGTTGGGCAGTGACCACTCTCAGCTAGCCCCATTAGATGTAGATATTTATTTGTTCTACCGTGGTTTATCCTAAGCCTGGTCAGCTTTACTAAGCTGGAGCGATCGAGATGAGGTTTAAGGGTCGCGAACCATGGAACCAGTGCTATCTTCTGTCGAACTGCATGGTGGTCCTTACCCTTCGAGGCACATTCCCAGTCGTAGAAATGCTCCAAGTCTTTCATTATTTTCCCCCCTCACTACTCTTATCAAATCAAGTAAAGGGACCTTCGCGTTTATTCGGTGTAGTTGGTTTTGATTTGCTGTTTTATCTGCATAATTTCATTTCCTGATATTCCTACGTGTCCCGGCACCCACTGAAAAAAGTAATTGTTGCTGGAGTGCGTTTGATATATTAAGAAATTAATTAGAAAAGGTGGTAAAAACTAATGAATGTCCATTTGCTTTCCACTACTAAACAGATTTAAAAAAAAAAAAAATTAAAAAAGAAAATCTTTTAGAAATTGAGGAAGAGAGATTGAACTTATTTGCTTTTGAATATTTATATACTGATCTTATTATATGAAAATCTTTGAAAGCAATATTATTGGTCCCAAAACACTCTCAGACATCAACGGGAAGAGGGGAGGCGAGCTTTCGGGTTGAAGCACCCCCCCTCCCAAAATGGTAAAATGTTTATGATGAAAAATCATCTCTTAAAGTATTATTTTTCGTGTAATTACATTTAATAGGACTTTTCAATAATCACTTAAACACCATTTCATATCAGTAGTTAGTTTCTTTTTTTTTTTCTAAAGTAATTTTCGTTACATATATTTAAATAAAAGCTTTCGGGCTGAAGCCCTTCCTCCCTCCCCCCCTTAAATTAAATCCTGGATAGTGCTCTCAGTCCACGATGTAATTTAAGATAAAGTAAAAATACTTTTATGAAGAATATAAAAGAGTAAACAATTCGAAAAATCTAAACGATTTTTACGAGATAATAAAACCCATAAATTTTATGAGCCATTGAATTCGTGTTGCAATATTCTTCAATTGAGTTTGATAAGGAATCAATCTGCTTCAGTTAATATCGTCGTCATTTGAAATAATCGCTTTTACGTAGTTTTGGATAACAGTCTCATACAAAAATATTTTATGAGATTAAATTGTAATACCAAATTAAATATTATTTGTATTATTAGTATTATTTGTAAAATGATTGGTAATTATTTAGATGAGGACTGTACAGGTGGTTCATAATCTCTTCGGTGATACTTGAATCGGTGAGTGCAGAAACAACTTTAGAAAAAAAAAAAAAAAAAATCGTTTTCGATGAAAAGAATCTTAGAAAGCCAAGATGCGTGTTGATTGCAAGAACCAAGTTAGTCTAGTGAGTAGTTCCGTAAATACATGACGTATTTTTCGATCGTTGAGCGCAGAAATAACATGAGTCAGTGACTGACGTGGTTTCTGCACCCACCGCTAGATCGCATGACCAGCAAAAATGGGAAAATTTATATTTGAAAATATAAATATGAATACCATTTATATTTATGGTACTTATCAATATAAATATAAATGAAAACTTCAAAGTTTTTTATGATGAACTATTTACCTGACCAACCACAGCATTTGGCAATGATACAATCGTCGAGAAAGATAATTAAGAGCGTTTCACTTTGTTATATTTCCTGTTTTATGATGACTTTGCGATACTGTAACTTCATTTTTGATATAATATGAAAAAAAATATATTTTTAAAATTGTAAAATAAATTAAAATTAATATTAACTAGTAGGCCCGTGCGACAATTTCGCACATCATATTGTTATCAAATGCCAAATTAATAAGAAAAGAAAATAATGCAACGTATCAAAAGATAAAGAAATCAATTGTTACTTTATCGATAAATATAATCGACAAAGGAAACAAAAAGTAATTTAAATCTTTATTTTTGTTTGGAACCAACATAGTTACAAATTTCAATAAGCTGTATCTTTGCTAAAGATTTCAATGTTTTTTTTCCCTTTCGTAGGGAACTAAGTAATCTTTTATATAATCATGGGCATAACCAAGTGAAAAGTGTGTAATTTTTTAGTTATTCGCAAATAAAGTGAGTTTTCTTTCATAACTTGTTTGCCTGAATTTTCGGGGTAATTGGACTATTTTGTCCGCCTGGAGGAGAAAGAAGCCTTCGAAATTGGTGGCTCAATCTTGAGATTTGGTGAAGAATTAACGATGATATGGCTTGCCGATCAAAAACACCATCGATAAATAATATAAACTCCTCTCTCGATCATAGAGGCCTCAAGTCGACGAAATGAGACATGTATTCAATGACAGTACTACAATTAACGTAAGGTTGTGTGGATGCGAACCCTATGCCTTGCGTTATCTCGAAAATAGTACATTTTTGGGCTTAAAAAAGCAGGATCCGATAGTTCCGGAGGATTCAACTGTTAGTTCAAAACACCGTTACAAAGATTTTTGCCAATTGATTAAACACATCTTATTTAATAACGGATCAGTATTTTTAATCGGTATGGATGCGAACCCTATGCCTTGCGTTATCTCGAAAATAGTACGTTTTTGGTTTTAGAATCGCAGGATCCGGGTCTTGCTGTACGCATCAAAATCTTCAATATCCAATTTGTCCCGTATCGATCTACAGACCTACCACCGTTTCAGTATTGAAGCCTAGCAAAATGTTTGTATCGACTTTATTTTAGAAAGAGAAACAAAAGTGGAGAATACGATTCGCTAACCCCCCATGGAATTCTGAATCCAACGGTACCCCATTCATGGTATTTGAGCATGACAGGAGCTTATATTTGATGCAAAACCGATTTCGAGCCTTACTGTAATAATATTTGTAAGATTGTTGTAAAATAATTTTTTAAATAAAAAATATAAACTTTTAATGAATGGAATTTTATT